CGTGGTTGGTATTCTTTCTTCTAAAGAGGAGAGAAGAGAGTGTTCTCTAACAAAGAGAAATAAGGGGTACAACACGCGGTTTTTTATTCTCTTGTAGAAGGAGTTTATTATTTTTTTTGTTTTTCCCGCGCCCAAAAACCCTTTAAAAAAATTTTTTTCCCCCTTTTTTTTTTGTTTCCTTTTCAAAAATAAAAAATAAAAGGTTTCTCTCGGGGGTTTTTTCCAAAAAAACCCCGCGGGAAAAAACCCTTTGTGCTTTTTTTTCCTTTTTTAGATTTTTTTTTCCCGGGGGTAAATGTTTTTTTTTTTAAGGGAAACTTTAAATTTTCCGTTTAAAAATTGGTCAAGGTTATTTAAGGGGATTTTTTTTTTTTCTTAGGGTTGGTTTTTACAAGATTTATTGATTTTCCGAAACTGAAACGAAGAATTAGGTTTGCAAAAAACCCCAAGGGAATAGATTCAAGCAAGGTCATGGAGTGATTTGAAAGTGCTTATGGATAATAGTAATAGATGACTAGAGTATTTTACTATCTAGAGATATTGTTTCAATCTTCACTATATTGAGATCGCTAACAGACACGAACCTTCATAACCTTTTGTTTGACTAGGTTTCAAAAAATGCTATTGGCTTGACTGTTAGTTTCCTTGACATTTTACAATTTTTCAGAGACTTTTCGAAAAAACAAATAAGGAAATATTAGATTTAGATCATTACTTTGTGACTGATCTGAATTTGAAATGTAAATTTAATAAAATTTACTAAAATATAATAAAACATCTATACGTAGATGATCCTAAATCTTTATACTTACTATATTTCTCCTATCTGTTTATGTTCGCAAGTATACAGTTATTGATTAACCCTTATACAGTGTAGTATTGTGAAATCTATTTGATTCCTAAACAAGCAAGTGTATAAGACCACTAATCTTGAGAACAAACCAAATAAACGATTTCGAAAACTACTTGTCTTCCTATTTTTGAGGCGGCTTTCAAAAATGAAAATAATATACAATCATTAATAACAATTTTTTAACTGCTAATCAACTTCAGAAGACTGGCTAACTAATTTACAACAACATGATTGAAACTTTCACCAGCAACCAATTCATTCTTGAGGTATATTGTTGTAATACTTGTTTTGATGTTTGAAACAGAACAGTTGAACAGACTACCCTCGTTTGTCCTGCATTTCAATTTTAAGATTTTTTTTTTAAAAAAATGTAAGATTCTTTCGCAGAACCTCCATCCGAAACGATAGTCATGATGATGTCATCCATAGCTCATGGAGCCCCCCCCCCCCCCCCCATAAAAAGAATACATATTCATATAATCATTAACAAAATTACAGATCCCAAGCAATCTTGTTTTTGATATTCATTTGTTTATTTCATTTAATCACCTACCATCTGGATATTATTAATTTCAAAATATTTTGAACTTATTATTCTTACTACAATTACTATTTTCAAGTTTGGAAACTATCACCAAAATAAAAATAGTTCAAATTTTACTTTTAAGATTTAGTACATGTAAAACAAGATATTGACCGGCCCTCGATCATTGAATTAAGGTGTACTAAACAGAATTAAATATTGGGTTGAAGGATCTATTTTTAACCACTTTCATCATTAAATATGGCGAATAGGATATCTATTTCTATCTTAATTGATACAATTACTCAAATTCCCTTGGCAGTATATTATTTATATTCGAATACACGTATTGATTGATTCAAATCCATTTAGCCATATCTTTTGACTTAAATAGGTACTGGTATTATAACCTATAAATTATAATATGCCTTATAAATGATGAGTAATATGTTATTAATTATCCAGTTATATGGCAACTTAAAAGTTGGTGGCAACACTTCTCTCCAAAACTTAAAATTGAAAGGTCTTCTTTCCTATTCCATTCAGCTATTTTGTGTTCGTTGCCATGGCTATTACATTCCAAGTAATTTTTGGGACAACATCAATTTTAGGCACCAAATTAATAATATTTAGGTTAGAAATTCCCATTTGTTCTGGTTTCATTTTTGACATTAATATTGTAACGAGATAATCCTTTTTGTGATTTTCAATCCTGATTTGATTATATAAAAAATAACTCAAGTATTGTCTGACCAATCCCACCAATTTCTACTAGTGACTTCTGATAATCTAATAGTAATCGGGAACAGCTAGAAAAGTATATTTGGAGAACAGATGAGATATTTACATTTCGAACATGTTAAAATACATATATATTATTAAAGACTAATTTATGGACTAAACAGATATAAAGGAAATATATTAGCTGGTTACAATACAAAACCTACTAACTAATTACAATAATAAAAAAGTTCAAAAAATTTTTCTCAAAAAAATTCATTGAACCAATGCTATTACTTCGATAATTAACATAAATAAATCGAGTTTGAGTTTTAGCCTTGTTCATTAAAACCATTTACAGGATGAGATTAGATTAATTCTTAAATTGATCTTCAGTGACACCTTTAGCCATAGCAGCTGTTGCACTAACACCCCCTTGGGCTAATTTCAATAAACCATCAATGTACTCTGCACCTGACCATGTTTGATGTTTTAGAACATCAACACCCAAATCCATTTCTTGTTGTTGGACTTTGTTGGCATAAGCTTTCATACCTTCTTCCATAAATTCTTGAGTAAACTTCAAAGTTGATAGAGCTGTAGTATGTAAACCAGCCAAAGTAATGAATTGCCAACAGTAACCATATTCACCCAATCTTGAAATGAAAGTTTCTTGTTCATCGACAGGCATAGCTTTTTGCCAGTTGAAAGATGGTGACAAGTTATAAGCCATCATCTTATTTGGGAACTTGGCTCTTACACCTTCAGAAAATTCTACCGCTTGTTGGAAATCTGGGTAGTTAGATTCCATCCAAACCAAATCAGCATATGGAGCAAATGCTCTTGCTCTCATGACAGCACATTGGGTACCACCTCTGTAACGGTATAGACCTTCTCTTACTCTTGGTAATTCCCAGTTGAAATAGATATCATAACCAATTAATTCTTTAGCTAATTTCTTAGCTTCTCTGTGTGAGGTTTCAGTTAATGGGCCGACCTTACTGTTGAATGCATCAATGATTTCTTGTTTATTTTTGATTTCTGGGTTTTTATTAACTTCATCAGCAAATGCTTCATGGAATAATTTCAAACCAGCTTTTTCACACCAGTTATTTTCCAATACTTGCAAGTCATTACCAGAACTTCCAGAAATAATTGCTTGGTTCATACAATCAGCAAAACTTAAATCATCATCCATTTCAGGGTTGGTGGCACCAACAACAAAGTAATGATCTCTTGGATCGATGGTTGAGCTAATCAATGTAGCGGCCTCAGAATCAGTTCTTGCAACCAAAACCAAATCTGAACCCATGATATCAGAACACATTCTTACAGTGGTCAATCTGTTGATGTGTTCTTGAACTGGAATAACACATCTACCAGCCATATGACCACATTTTTTATTTGTTGAAGTTTGATCTTCGATATGAATACCAGCGGCACCACGTTCGATGAACATCTTTGTTAATTTGAAGACCGCAGTCAAACCACCGTGACCAGCATCGGCATCAGCAACAATTGGAGTCAAATAATCAGTTGGTTTGCCCAAAGCTTCTAATTCTTCCTTTGAAGAAGCATTTGCTCTCATTTCAAATTGTTTTCTGTCATGGAACAATTGGGCCTTGAATAAGTGTTCTACCTTATTTGGGACTGTGTCCATTGGATAATCCGCTAAATCTGGACCTGGTTCATTTGAAGTGGATGCAGTGGAAGAACATTGCCAGCCAGAAACATAAATAGTATCTAAATATTTTGACATTTGAGTAATTTGGACTGGATCCAAAGCACCAAAAGTTTTTGAGACAGTACCATTTGCGAAATGGTTTCTCAATACTTTGTATAATTTTCTTGACATTACAGAGGATTGGTAATCTACTTTTTCCATTACACCACGTCTTTTTGCGATTTCATAAGAAGAATAAATTCTCTTGACACCATTCCAACGTTCATCGTTCCACCACTCGTCAATTTTTTCAGATTCCTTTTGTAGATAGGATTGGATTTGGTTAAAATCACTTAAATTTGGAGCACTTTGGACCAATTCATTTGAATTGCCATTATCTGAATTTTGGGATTGTTTTAATACAGGCATTTTGTTTTCAGAATTTTTAGTTTGATTTATTGGATTAAAAAGATAAGATACAATAAAATGAAATAAAAATTGTTTAAATTTTTATAAATGTCACTCTTTCTAAAAGCTGTTAGAGAGATGGATGGGAAGTCAAAAACGATTAATGTGTTTGTTTGTTTTTTTAAATTAGTTAATATGATAAAAGATAAGTATTCAGACCGAAGAATATATCTCAATCAATATAGTAACAATTATCTTTCTATTTATTTCAAAACGAAAATATAAAATAAATACAAAAATATAAAAAAGATGTGAAACCAAAAAAAATTGATAGCAAATGAGAATATTGTAATTGAAATAGTTTGGAAGGGTTTATATAATAATCTAAAATGAAGCAAAAGCAAAAACCAAAACCAAAAGATAAAAAAAGTTGTAATAATAGTGATAGTGATAGCAATAATAATTTATTAGAAAAGATGATGATAGCTGAACAGAGAGAGACTTCCCTTGGACCTTATCCTTTCTGCGTCGTCCCCTTCCACTTCTCCTTCCCCCCTCAGATATGAGATGAGTATAACATTAGCAAGTGTATGGCAAGCCATAAAGCATTAACTTGAAAGTTTTAATTTGATGATTATGGGAGAGCATAGCATAGAATAGCATAGAATAGAATAGCAGAGTATAGCAGATGGTTTCCCTTTTTCACTAAAATCCTCATGAAACTTGAAACTTGAAGATGAGAAAAAGGAAAGTTGTGGGCAGAGCAGGCCATTGGAATAGCTAAACCCCGGATCAATAATAACCATGATTATGATTAAAGGTTATGGTTAATGGGGTTATGGCTGGGCTGGCTTGGGTCAGGCTAGGCTGGGATGATTAAACGAACGATGGACGGATAGGAAGGATGGGCTGGCAGTTACGACGGACAAGTGAGGTCAGCAGCAAGGGGAGGGGGCGGGGGGTTACTCGCAGGAAGTATGTGTCTCTGTTTGTTTGTGGTTCTTTTTTTTCTTCATAGGTGAATATAAGGGTACGTGCAAGATCATAACATATAGATAGTCATTATCGGGTGAATGGCAATATGATAAAAATCATGAATCTCCGGGGGGAGACCCCATGCAGAGAGAAACAAGGAAGCGAAGCGACGTGATCGTTTTTTCGTTCATGACTTTTTGGACACAAAAATGGTTTGATTTGATTTGATTTGAAGTTTTTATGTAATTTGAGAGAAAAAGAAAAAAAGTAATTTTTTAGGGGAACACTGTTGGACCTGTGTAAGATACGGAGAACAGAATTTATTGAAGGCAAATTTAGATGTCCCGATCTACGGAGATGATTTCTACGGAGATGATTTCTTGTTAGGTTCGGCCATATGGTACGTGACTCAACTATGGAGAAATGGAATTAAAATTTGTTTTATTAATTAATTTATTCTGAATGTGATCCAATTTTTTTTAATCATTTTTTAATTATTTGTTTTTTTATTTTAGCAATCTATCTTGTTCCCCTTCCCTAACCCCCCGGAGTACACGTTCTAATGGTAACGGTAACGGTAATGGCGGCCAACAATCGAAGTTCTTCTCTTATTATTTGACATGGTTTAATTGCTATACAAATAAATATTGGAATAACTAATTATAGTTTCGGAGACTTAAGGACTAAAGCCGTACAACGGTTTTTATTTTCATGTTAGTTCTTCCTGAATGTATTCATGCATACATGTTATAAAATATGAGATGAGGTTCAGTTAAAACACCAAAAAAAAAAGAATACACCTACCTCATTTCACAGGTATGTTGATTTGATTACCTGTTCCAGACATATAGACACTTTCCTTAAACTACTAACTTGTAATTCGGTATTGAATCAAGATACCAATACGATTATGACCGTCTTGGTATTGGTCTCTTGTGATCTTGGATAAGAGCATGTCTTGACCGTTTTCTCTTACGTTTTAATAAACGAGGGAGGGAGTGGCTCGGGCCCTAAAATTTGTCAGGGATTTAAAAAATAAAAATAAAAATAAAATTCGACACCAGCAGGATTTGAACCAGCGCGGGCAGAGCCCAACAGATTTCAAGTCTGTCGCCTTAACCACTCGGCCATAGTGCCATAAATTTTCTTGTTTTTAACAAAAGTTTTCAACGGTCAAAATTTTGGTTTCAGAAAAATATAAATTCTTTATAAAATAATTTTTTCTTCAATAGATCTTATACTTCAATTGATTAGTCCATTCATTACTCAACACATTATTTTGAGGTAACTTTATTGTAGAGAATCATGTTGTGGTTTTTCTACCGAATCGTTCATAGTAATAGATTCTTTATTTATTTCCAAGGACATTCTTAATAAGTTGATATTGATCCAGTGTATTAAAGTATATAATATACACATGGGAATATAATTAACATGACAAGTGTCGATTAAGATCTTGTCATTTCTTATATAAAGTGTTGGAAAAGTTTTAACGTCAGAAATAACACTTTCGTGTAAAGTAACATTTCTTTATCCTATATGAATAATGTCGTAATACGTATATATCACGTGTTACCTCATAATTCTGACACACCTCCGTAAAGACATGTTTTTACGATCTTCTTAACTGATCATCATCAACATCTTCTTCCTGTCCTTGGATTTTGATTCTCCTAGCTCAGTTATACGAAGAATGTCTCCTGGGTGTAACTTATTTTCCGAGCATTCAAACAATTTCTTGAATTGAATTTGCGTTACTGTTTTTTGTTAAAATGTCAGTAACATTAAATAAACCAGATATTTTTTCTATAGCAGTTACGTTCTTTCGAACTTGTTCTAATAGTTTTTCTAGTTTACGAGCTGTAAATCTATCTTTAGAAAATGGATACTTGATTTATATTCCGAGTCATAGAATGATCAACTATTTAGATATTTTCTTAAGTAATCATTCCATTCTTTCGGACTTTGCTTTAACCATATAAAGCTTTATTTATTTGAACCACCTTCGGTTCATACGGATGTGGTATATATATTCACCTCCTGTAGATCAGCATATAGTAATGCATGATCTATATGTAAGTTTTTTACCACTATCCAGTTGTTGTGTGATGTTAGTCTACACGCGTCTCGAATTCAGATACTTCTTCATTCCGAGGTTTTTTCATCAGAGCTTTCACTTGAAGTTAATGATACATATTGAAGTTCGTCTTCAGATACGTCTTGTACAAATAGTTCTTCAATCAGAGGTTCGTCCTCAGAAATTTGATGTGAATTTATAGATTCATATTGAGGTTCGTTCTCAGATATGTCTGGCAAAGATACTGATGCATATTGAGATTCTTCTTCATTTTATGTCAGTTTGAGAATCTTCATTCCGAGGTTCGTCCTCAGGAATATCATATGGAGTTACTTATTCATATTGAAGTTCTTCTTCATATATATGGCAAAGATACTGATGCATATTGAGGTTCGTCCTCATTTTACGTCAGTCTAGATGAAAGATAATGTGATATCAAGTTGTTTGTGCATGATTAAACTGAATTAGTGTGTAATGACATATTGTTGGCTCGATATTGGGCTCTCTTGGCCTACGTAAGATATTCGAAAGAATTTCCAACAATAATGAATTGTCTATTACTATTATATTAAGTCGTATTTGATAATAGCGGTGTCGGCGCAGGTATGAGGAGAGGATATATGCCGCATGCTCATCTTGTAAACCCTGGTTTGCGAATATGAATAAGGTGTGAGTGTAGGTCTTACATTCTGCCTCTTGCTCATCTTTGGAACCTTGTTGATTATCATGCTTAAGGTGCGAGTGAAGGTCTTACATTCTGCCTCTTGCTCGTCTTTGAAACCTTGTTGATTATCATGCTTAAGGTGTGAGTATAGGTCTTACCTTCTGCCTTATCTCGTCAATCTAAAAACGGCTGAATTTGTCGCGTGGGTGTGAGAGGGTCCTTTTTACCATCTGCCTCAGTTTGTAATAAACCTATCTGTTGTCCTGCTTATTAGTAATATTAATACGCTGTTTAAACGGTTTTTCTAGAGTCAGTGGCACGTTAACTCGAAATTTGCTATTAGCAATCGATTACTTGTTGTATAATTTCTCATTTCGCTCTATACTTCACCTCCTGTGAAGATTATTCATCATTTTACTCTATTATCTATGATTTATGCCATATCTATATCGTCATCATGAACTAGATTTTTTGTCTTCCTTATTATGGTAATCAGGTTGACCTTTTAGTCGAGTTTGTTACAACTCTGACTGTTTTGTTACCGGACTGTTTGTTTTTATTAATCACATTTTTTAGAATAAGGTTATTTGAATTAATCCAAGGGGTTTTATCCACTTTGGATCCTTGATTTGTATAATGTAATTAATCAGGAATTTATAAGCTCTTTCGAGTTTATATCCAGTATCTCCCTGTAAAGTGGCAATAGATAGACTATTTTCACTTTATTTCGGATAATAATAATAGACTTTCGTCTTTATGTATTTTCTCAGATATGAGATTTTATCCTTAATATCTTGTTACTTCTAGATAATTTCCTCGTTTTGAAGTAACAAGAATATTTTGTTAATTCTTCTTCAAGTACTTTCTTGTATCTTGAATAGTAATTTAACGTTACTGTTTCCAGTAAATTTGGGTATCAAATCTTCTTTGAATGAAGTCCTGGCGGGGAAGCCATGTAGAGAATTATGTTGTGGTTTTTCTACCGAATCATTCATAGTAATAGATTCTTTATTTATTTCCAAGGACATTCTTAATAAGTTGATATTGATCCGGTGTATTAAAGTATATAATATACACATGGGAATATAATTAACATGACAAGTGTCAATTAAGATCTTGTCATTTCTTATATAAAGTGTTGGAAAAGTTTTAACGTCAGAAATAACACTTTCGTGTAAAGTAACATTTCTTTATCCTATATGAATAATGTCGTAATACGTATATATCACGTGTTACCTCATAATTCTGACATATTTATATTATTATTTTATATTATATATAAAATCCTCACGGAGAAATATAATTTAAGAAATATGTCACCTATTAAAAATGATCAACAATTTCAACAATTATAATAGTTAACTATACAGTAGTATTAAATATATAAAGATCTCTATGGTCTTCTGTTTAATAACAAAAGTGTATATCTTTACTTCAGGAACTATGCCCTTTATATACGTCATGTCAGTTGTCTATTAGCGTCATTCCTTTTAACAATCATGACAGATCCTCTTTCGTTATTCCTGTCATCTTGTACTAACGTGGAATCAATACACAAACAATACATAGTTTTCTTCGATATATAGAAAATATGGCGAAACGTAAAGATCCATTTGTTAACAATTGGTCACAGGTCCAATGGTCCAGTGGTTTACGACGTCGCCTTTACACGGCGAAGATCCCGAGTTCGAACCTCGGTTGGATCAGATTCCAATTTTTTTAATAATTTTTGATACTTTAACACATGATACAATCTAAGGGATCATTTGATATAAAGATATTAATTAAGCTATAACCATCACTTCAATGACTTAATATCCCAACTGAAAGTGCTTGAATGTACAAGAAAAGCTGATAAGCTAACTAACTATTGTTATTAAATAGAAACTCACACTTTTCATTTCGTTGTTAAGTAATAGAATAATAAATTACCAACCAATTATTGGTCCCATTAAAGAACACATGAATTTATGATGGAATATAAAGTCCCAACTATTACAGTTTATGATAAAAATGTCTATTATTTATTAAGTTCAAGGGATTTTAGTAATGAACCAGGTCCTGCAGGAATCTTTGACAATTTAGGTCCTGGGAAATCAATGTTCCCTACTAAAATTAAGTACATATTTGAGGATGATGATGATCAGTCAATAGAGAGTAATGAAGAAAATGGTATTGATAATGTTATTATAATAGATTTAGATAACAATCACTCCTTGGAGAATGTCACTTTATTGAGTGATGGATACGAGTTATTGTCTTTTAAAGAGAATAAGCTACCTACACCCGGTGAAAGATCAGACAAACAGGAGTTGAAAGATATATGTAACGAAATTGAGATCGATGTTATTTCTCAGTTTAGAGACCTTTCAAAAGTTTCAAAAAATTTAAGTTTGGATGACTTAATTAAAATATATGCATTGCAGAATGAACAGATACGAACAATATCTGATACTCTATGAACTCCATGCTTAGTGTAGATATAATAAAATAAAATAAAATAAAAAATAAGATAGTTCTCAAAAACACATCTAGGCTCTGTATTCTAAATTAAATAATAAAACCACTTATTACTCTATTCAATTCACAATTTAGACAGTTCTGTAATCGTTTCAGGATATTGTTGATAAGTCAGCTGGAACTGGCGATATTTTAATACGATAATATTTTTCAATTTCTTTCATTTTAGATAAATCTGAACTTGTTATAAAATTAATTGCAACACCTTTTCTACCGAATCTACCACTTCTACCAATACGATGAATATAATTTTCCATAATTTCTGGTATATCGTAATTTATAACTAAAGAAACTTGTTGGACATCAATACCACGAGCCCATACATCTGTTGATATTAGAACTCTTGAATGGCCTGAACGGAAGTCACTCATGACTTTATTTCTATCTTCTTGTTTCATATCACCATGCATTGATACAACTGCAAAATTGGATTGTGTCAATTTTGCAGATAACCAATCAACTTTTTTTTTAGTATTACAAAAGATGACACATTGAGTGATTGTCAATGAATCATATAGATCACATAATGTGTCAAATTTCCAATCCTCTTTTTCAACATTCACATAATATTGTTTAATACCTTCCAAAGATATTTCATCTCTTTTAACCAAAATCTTTACGGGATCACTCATAAATTTCTTAGTAACTTCTAAAATATCTTTGCTCATTGTAGCACTGACAACAACAACTTGACAAGCAGCAGGTAATTTGGTGAATATATCGTATATTTGCTGTTTAAAACCTAAACTTTCACCTAATAATTCATCAGCTTCATCTAAGATCAGCATTTGAACATTTCTCGTATTCAATAAATGTCTTTTGAACATATCTAGGACCCTACCAGGGGTACCACTGACAACTTGACACCCATTTTTTTGCATTCTATTTAAATCATCCTTCATAGTTTTACCACCAGTCATTGCGTAAGATTGAACATTCATATAATCACCTAAATTAGAGACGACTTGATTAATCTGTGATGCCAATTCTCTAGTAGGAGATAAAACCAAAGCTTGGAGATCTTTACGTTTCAAATCAATCGCTTGCAACATACCTATAGTGAAAGTAGCAGTTTTACCAGTACCTGATTGTGCTTGAGCAATCACATCTGTACCTGAAATGATTTGTGTAATCGCTCTTGACTGAATAGCAGAAGGAGCTTCGAACCCATAGCCATAAATACCTCGAAGAAGATCATCTTTTAAATTCATAGATTCAAAAGTTGGTGAAATCTTCAATTTTTTTGAAGTTTTAAACTTCAATTTTTTATCTTCTTCTCTACTAAATGACATCTGTTTCCCTTAACAATTTGTCCCAAAAATAACCTTAAAAACACACCAAAACAACAAATATACCTACTTTGGATAATATAGACTCAAAGTATAACAACAGAATACGTTCAATCCTTCTAGATCAGCTAGTATTTTCAATCTAAACATCCTTTTTATTCAATTTTTGATAATATAATTCTTAAGCTCATCGCATAATTTTTTTCTTCTTCTTAAAGCCTTCCAATATCAAAAGTGAAAAATTTGAGATGATCTGAGATGAGATGAGCTAAGTATTATATTTAAATAAAACCATCAGATCAGAGGTATCAATTGGTTTCTGGTTACTAGATTAGTGGTAGATTAAAGATACGATTATATTTGTTCCATAATATCTGTTACAGGAAGATTGATAAATTTTCTGGTGTTAAAATACAGAGATGAAGGAAGATTCAAGAGGTAAAATTATTGTATCAATTGGTGGTGGACATGCTACTGGCAGTGTTGAATTAGCAAATGTTATTAGACAATCTTTGGTAAAGAAGTATAAACAAAGTGATATTAGAATTATTGATTTGGATTCTAAGGTAGATAAATTGAATAGGAAATATTCGAATGCTGATTTTGATTTTGAAAGTCTGTATGTAGAGTTGACTACAAACGATAAGGATAATGTTGGGAAGAATGAACAAGGTGATGATCCTTGTGAGATTATTTTTGTATGTGGTTGTTATTCATTGTACGATGAAAAAATCAGGTCTATATCAAAATTGAAGGTGTATCTCGATAGTGATGCTGATAAGAGATTGATAAATTTGATTCAGTTTAATAAAATAGAGACACCAACTGAATTATCAGGACTTCTAAGTGAATACATGGATAATTTAAGAGATGAGATGATCAAGCACATAGAACCAACCAGAGTCTATGCAGATTTGATCATTCCATATACCAATGAAACTATTGGAAGTGCAATTATGTTAGATGGTATTAGCAAAGTTATAGAAGAGTTAAAAGGAAATGATAAAGTTATAAACTTGGAACATAATAAAATACCACTATTGAACTTTGAAGCTGAAAGAATTGACGTTCAAAAATCAAGATACTATGATTTATCCTGAAAGCTACAATTTCAACTTTATATATATATATATTTCATTCAATGGTTCTACTTCAATCTATATGAACCGTAATAGAACAGAATATAGTAGAATAGAACAGTTTCTGCATTTCAATAGATTGAACATCTGACTTGTAAAGTCATCAAGATATAGATTCATATCATACATATACTTATAAATACAATATACAATTAATGAGCAAGCTAAACCACCTCACCTTCTTGATTCATTGAACTTGTTAGAGCATTGCATTACGAAGTTCAAGAATTCATTAAAGAGAGAAGCTCAATTACCTTGGGATAAGAGATATTTGGGTTCTAAATATTGTTAATCTAGTCATTTGTTGCTTGTTAATGATGTTGGGTTCCCATTTAAACGTTGGTTTGCTCTCTATTGAAATGACCCTTTTTTGACTCTGAATCAGTGCTTTGGCAACATTTAAGGAAGTCAAACAATCAGGATGCCCAATTATATAAATGGACATACAGCCAAGACAAAAAACAAAAAACAAACAACCATGACATTTAAATAACAGATAATTTGAAATAGGATTCCCAAAGTTGTGGCTAGTCATCATTGAGAATTTAAACCGGTTCTAATTAAGGTTCTATTTTAATTCAAATTTACAGCTGCTTGAGAAGAGATGAGATCAATTATCACTAAACGTTTTAATAGCACAACTGCTTTAAAAAAGACTGCATTACATGACCTACATGTAGAGTTAGGTGCCAAGATGGTACCATTTGCTGGTTATTCAATGCCTTTATTATATGACGGTCAGACTCATATCGAATCCCATTTATGGACCAGAAGCAATGCAGGTTTATTCGACGTTTCTCATATGTTACAGAGTAGATTATCAGGTAAAGAAGCCATGGACTTCTTACATAGAGTAACTCCAACTGAATATAAAGGTTTGCAAAGTAATAATGGGACATTATCAGTTTTGTTGAACTCTACTGGTGGCATTGTCGATGACACTATGATAACTAAAATTAATGATGAAGAATTTTATATTGTTACCAATGCTGGTTGCGTTGAAAGAGACTTAGAATTTATCAAGGAACAACTAGAGACTTCTGGTTATAATTGCTCTTGGGATGTAATCCAGGGTAGGTCCTTATTGGCTTTACAAGGTCCAGAAGCTCACAAAGTATTACAACCTTTATTACGTGAAGGTCAGCCATTAAAGGAATTATATTTTGGCCAAAGACGTCCATTTGAATTGGCAAATAATGTTACAATCGATGTAGCCAGATCAGGGTATACCGGTGAAGATGGTTTTGAAATCAGTGTTCCAAATGAAAATGCATTGGAATTTGCCCAACAATTGCTGGATAATAACATCACAAAACCAATTGGGCTAGCTGCAAGAGACAGTTTAAGATTAGAAGCCGGTATGTGCTTATATGGTAACGAACTGAACGAATCCATCACTCCAGTCGAGGCAGCCTTGTCCTGGTTGATCTCCAAACCAAGAAGGAACGTTTCAGAAGATTCCATCAAGTTCAATGGCTATGAAAAGATAATGGATCAAGTCAACAACAAGACCCACGACAAACTACGTATCTCATTCAAATATACAGGTAAAGGTCCAGCTGCCAGAACTGGCTCCAAGATCTTTTTACCTGATAAAACCACTGAAGTTGGTGTTGTCACCTCAGGCAGTGCATCTCCAAGTCTAAACAACTTAAATATCGGTCAAGGATACGTCACCAAAGGTCAACACAAGTCAGGAACTGAACTATTGGTCCAAGTAAGAAACAAGTTCTTCCCAATTGTCCTAAGCAAGAGTCCATTGGTTCCATCTCACTATTACCGTCCATAGAGTACATTTTGTATAAGACAGAGCTCTCCCCTTCCTCCTCCCCTCCCCCAATATCATCCTTTTCAACAGTTCCAACCATTAAGTAAAACAATTATCGATCTAGAATTAATAAATTTAAATATATCTCTATACCTCATATCTCCACAACTCTCCAGTTTATATACTCAACTTGAGACACCTCGGCGGCTAATCGATTTTTTAAGGGTTTTCGAAATGTTTCCTTTTTACCAAAACCCGTTGGTATATAAAGAGGAGACTTTTTAAAGAAGACTCATAAGGATACAAGTTTCTTTCTTGTCACTTTATGTAGGATTAGAGACAGTAAAGATAGGTTGATATATTGGGTTCGTTTGGTTTGGGTGCTCTTATTTATAGGAGAGAGACTGAAAGACATTGGGAGATATTGTTTTAGATTGAGATCTAGAGAGGATGGGTGCTAAATATAAGTCAAAGCAGTTTGTCAAAGCTTTGATCTCCACTTCGATCTTATTTAATGGAGTGGTTCTAATTGCCAGCGTTCAGTTTATTATCAATAATTTGTTTTTTTTTGTTAAGAATGACACCACCAAAACTGCTTTAAAAAGGACTAAAAAAGCTTTTATTATGATGTTAATAACAAGTTTAAGTATCATTGCACCTGCGACAGTAAGAATCACTACTGATAATTCTTCGATTAAAAAGGGAACTGTAAAGTTTAATCCAGTGAAAGGTAGAGTTGTTTCTAATTTGAAAGAGAGGAGTATTGTGGTCTCAAACCACCTTATATATACAGATTGGGTTTATATTTGGTGGTTACTATATACTTCTAATTTGAGTGGGAGTATTTTTTTCCTGTTAAAAAATTCCCTTCAGTCGTTACCATTATTGAGCTATATTATGAACAATTATGGATTTATACCTTTGACAAGAAATTGGACGATTGACAAGTTGGTTGTAGAGGAAAAATTAAGGTTAATAAACAATGATGCTAAAATCATTATTAAGGATCAAGAGGAGGTTCATACTGTTCAGTCAAATCAATCAAGTATAACTGTGAAATCAAATGTTTCGCCAAAATCTAAATGGCCATATTCGGTTGTTCTTTATCCAGAGGGAACTAATATGTCCAAAAGAGCTAGACAGAAAAGTGAGGAATATTCAAGAAAGATGGGCAGAGAACCATTTAAAAATGTTTTATTACCTCATACCACTGGATTACGACATTCTATTACATTGCTACAAGGAACTTTGGATACTGTCTACGACATAACCATTGCATATTCTGGAGTGAAGCAGGATGAATATGGCGAAGAATTATATACTCTAAAAAACGTCTTTTTCAAGGGCATTGCCCCAAGATTAACTGACATTTATATTAGGAGTTATAATATAAGTGAAATACCATTTACTAACGAAGAAAAATTTACCAAATGGCTATTCGATGTATGGGAGGAGAAGGAAAAAATATTAGAAACATATTACGAAACGGGTACCTTTGGAGTTCCAAGAGAAAAGGTAGATGTTATAATCGAAAGATTTGACATTGGAATCAAACAGTATGTAGAATCTATTAATACCACTAATTATAAGAACAATTTTACTAACAATTCAAATTTTATACAAATCTTAAATCAGAAAATTAATTGATTTGCTACAATCAACGCTAGAATATGCACATTCTGTCTGTTGAATGGCTAAAAATATCTATTTATGATATGGAGAAGTAAAAAGCTTTTGGTAAAAAAAAAAGTGCTGTCATTTCAGGAAAATAATATTTGATAACATATACATATGCAGACAGGTATCTATATAGATATGATAAACATATATATAGGCATAAATCTAATTATAACTTGAATGTCTGGCCTTCAATAGAACGCCAGTCCTCCGAAGTTAATAATTTGTATTCTTTGTAATCCTTTAACCAGTAAAGAGTATCAGTTCCATCCGCACCATAAGGCAATTTTTGATTTCTGTAAAGAGCCTTACGTATTTTGCTAGTATCTGTCATCTCAAATTTATCAACAAATTTAACAAATATTGGTAATGCATACTTTGGGAGATGAGCATTTAATACTTTCAAAGTATTATTCAATAGTTTTACCTTAGATTCATCTGTTATGTATTTGTTCTTTTCAGATTCTGTTAATTTTAATAGAGCAAAACCAGCTCTACCTTCATACCCTGGTACTTTGATACCAACAACGACAATTTGTTCACATAGCGATTCATCAGTTGCAGCTAGTTGATCTTCGACTTCAGTGGTTGAAACATTTTCTGATTTCCATCTAAAGGTGTCACCTAATCTATCAACAAAGTACCATAAACCATATTCATCGGATCGTAGCAAATCGCCACATCTGTACCAAGCATCACCATTTCTAAAAACATTACGTAAAACTTTTGATTCTGTATCCTTCTTGTTTCCTAAGTAACCTTGGAAAGAAGTTTCTGGCTTCTTTGGGAAGAATATTTTCATTAACATCTCACCAGATTCGCCAACCGCTGCTGTTTCACAGAAACCTTTAGAGTTTCTATAAACCATATATTCATCATCAGGATCCATCTTGACCAAAGTCTGTTGGAAGGATAAGAACCAATTGACAATACTACCATAACTTCTGCAGGCACCCAAACCAAAAGTTCCTCTTTGTAAAGTTGTTGTTGCGAATGGAGCTTCAGTAGCAGCGTAGAATTCACCAATAACTTCGATATTAAATCTTTTTCTAAACTCTTGCCAGATATCTGGTCTCAAACCATTACCATAGGCATAAGTGGCAGTATGCATTTTTTCATATTTGGATACTGGAGTATGTAGCAAATATCTACAAACTTCACCGACATATTGGATATGAGTAGCTTCAGACATATAGACTTGTTTCCAGAATGAGCTAGCAGAGAACTTGTTAGCTAATGATAGACACCCACCTTTTGATAACACTGCGCAAGCACCCAATAGAGCTGCAGTTGAATGGAAAAGTGGCATTGCAGTGAATACAACACTACTTGTATCCATATGCATGACATGCCCGAATAAGAGACAACCAATATTAGCCTTTCTCCAGGATAAGATTGCAGCTTTTGGCAAACCAGTAGTACCTGAGGTATAAATCAGCATAGCAGGTTTAAAATCTGTAAGGTCATCTGGAGACCTGATATTGTGTTCTTGTAAGAATTGAGGGTTCGTTGGGTTCAAAATTTGACTCATCAAATCCTGTTCATCCAAATAATTTAATTTGACATGGGACAAAGCGTTTTTAATCTCTTCTTCAGACTGTCTAATTGGTCCCATCGCATCTGGCTCGATAAAGATTTGGGTAATATCAGCTACTTTGATAGAGTTAACCAAAGGAGCCCCCTTAACATTATAATTCAAAAAAGCTGGGACAGCACCAATATTCCACAGAGCCAACCATAAGAACATGAATAGTGGCTTATTAGTACTATCAATACCAACAGTGGAACCTGGCTGAACTTTATAATGATAATGTAAGATATAAGACAGTCTTAATACGATATCGTAAGTGTCCTTATAAGTGAAAGTTTCGATTGTGAATTCACCTTTAGTAGTTGTTGAAGGACGAGCATATCTAATACATTTACAATTACCATTAATCTTGACCTGATTTTCAAAATTGTACCAACTTTGAAATCTCTTCTTCCTAACATTCAACGCATAAAGAAACACTTGTTTCAAAAAGAATGGAATAACATAAAAATCCTCCCTATATCTATATTCCTTATCCCATTCTTCCAACTTATCACCTAAAGACCATTTTAACAATCTAACAAAAGGTGTCAGTATCAAACTGATCAATTTTAAAATTATACTAATAACCCAGGAAAAAATGTTAACTAACATTTGTATATTTTGGACAAACCTAAAGAACAACAATAGAACAATACGAATCCAAAATAAATATACAATATCCAAATAGACCTGTATATATATAGATGCTTCTTATAGCAATTAACCAAACTTTTAAAAAGTACTTCTGACAGTAATATCTCCTTAGCAAAAAAAAAATAAGGTTCCCAATTATCTTATTTAAACCCAGCAATTATATATATAGATAGCTAAAAACTTGTAAAATCTAAACTTAAAACACCAATGTTCTAATCGTTGACCTTATCCCCATCACAAACCAAAGACTAAGGGACTTGAAATGAATTAAGTTTCGAAACTTTATATATATCATATAGTATTCAAATCGTTTAAATATCATTAAAATTTCAAAACTTTAAAAGAATTTTTCACCCTAATTAGGAAAATTCTTTAATTTCTTGTTCAAGGTGATTGAAAAATTTTAAACTTACGGATTTTAGCAACAAGAGCAGATAGCAGATAGCAATGGAAGGGTTGAATCAAGGAGTGTGTATTTATCGTTTCTGATTAGATAGTATCAGGTTGGTTCAAGTTCTGTTCAAATTGACGTTGGGGTTGAAGCTTTATTGTTAATGAATGTTTTGATAGGTACTCTAGTTTATTTAAATATGTGATATAATATTTTTTTAAAGAGAAAAAACATTGAGGTAAAAATTTATTTATTTGATAAGAATATGATAATTTGGAAGGAATCTTAGTACAGAATAAGTAGCTCATTTGTCTTTATTCTTGAAAGACTTTGAGGGCTTGTGTATTGAAAAAAAACATAACTGTGTTTTCATTTTTTTTTTTATCTTGCTTTCAAACAAAATAATAAACAATGAAAAATGGGTTTTGATCAGTTCAAAGATGAGGCACCAGTGATGATATCGACCAATTCGTTGGTAATAACTGCTTGTCTGGTTCTGTTGTATAAGATAGAGTATCTGTTGATCATATCACCTGCGTTCTTGGAGGCGTTTTCCATGGCGTTTCTTCTGGCACTGATTTCAGCAGAATAACCTTGGGCCATTGCGCTCATGATCTTGGATGCCAAGTTGTATTCGAACATGTCGGCAGAGACGTTAGCATCGGTATCGATTTCGAATTTGTTGAAAGATGGAGATTTTTCAGTGGTTTCGACGTTGAAGACTGGTTCGTTGGTTGGCTCGAAGGATAGAGAACTGATTGGGTTGTTGTAGTAGATGGAGATCTTTGGGTAAGTGTTCAATTTCATTTCATTGATCAATTTATCAGAGATGAATGATGACTCTTGGAAAGTTGGGGCTTCTTTACCGACTCCGTTGATAGCCAATTTGATACTGTTGGCGTGTGTTCTTAACAATTGGTTTTTAACTTTGTCACCAACGGTAACAACATCAGCGTTTGGGGCTTCGGCCAAATGTCTTCTAACAGCCTTGGCTAATTGAGAATGGATGGAACCACATAAACCTTTATCAGAAGTGATGGCGATAATCAATTCCTTTGGGTTTGCAGCATCTTCTTCCAAGACCTTAGTTTCAGCATTCTTGTAGAATTGGTTGTCAGCATCTTCGAACTTCTTGGCAGTGACCTTGGTCTTATCAGCTTTACCTAATCTGGTAGAGGCGACGATTTTCATAGTCTTGGTAATCTTTTCAATATTTTTAATAGACTTTAAACGAGTTTCGACTTCCTTCAAAGTAGCATAGTTTCTTGTAGAATTAGCGAAAACAGAACGAGCCATAACATTGTTAGCAACTTGAACACTGCTGCGAGCAGCACATGCAGGAACTCTTGAAAACATTTTCTTTACTTATATGTTGTGTGTTTTTTTTATCTTGTTTTCTATAAAAAAATAAAACTTCTTCTAATGAATATTCAACCTTTCCAACAATTAAATTAAACAAACACTAGATAATTCTTTTTCTTGCACTACCTGAAAGATTAATTCAATTCGATATCTTGTTGTACTGAAAAAGCTATAATTTCTTGGTCAAAACCTGGATATAAATACCACAACTATTGATTAGTCTCTTGAAATTTTAAAGTAGTATCTCAGATTATAAACTGGAATCAATTTCAATTCAATGGGTAATCAAATAAAGATAATAGGTAGAGAGAGTGAATGAATCTGATATGATGTTTTTTCTTCAATTGAAGTCTACAGGGGGGGGCAGATAATATCAGAGTATAGTGAGTGGACCAAACAAAAAAGAAGAGAGACAAAGAAAGCCAAAACTAGTTGTGCAATCTCGAAACAAACTGTAATGAAAGAATAATCAAAAGGCCTCTCTCTGTTGTAGGTCAGTTTGCAATTGGAAACTTAATCGAACTCAATTCGATTGGTAAGATTAAAGGTTATAGTAAAAGCCTTAAAGGTAGGAAGAGAGCAAGCAAACTTCTCAAAATTGGTGAGATCAGTTCTGATTGGCTGGGAGGAATTTTTTTTTTACCAGTGTTCTGTGATCATTGTGGACGGGCCGAAGAGGGTAACCTTGGTTGTGAAGTGACGTCATAGTTGGTTAAAAATAGAGACAGCAACGAAGATATGAGATAAGATGAGATGGGATGAGGATCAATTTGATGGATTAACGTACGATAGAACTAGAAATAAAGCATAAATTGTTACTATCGTGGCCTTTTATAGTTCTCTTTTCCCTAGAATCTGTCTTCTATTTGGATGAAGACTCGGCAACAGTGAACATTTTTTGGATAGACCTGCTTTATAAGTGACAATTCTTGAATCTACGTTGTATAAGCTTCTATTTGTCTTGTCTATGAGTTCTTTCAATGACTTGTGGACCTGTGTGTAGTCTTCATGTTGATCTTCTGAGTGCATGGTTTTATTCTGTTCTTCTGTTTCATCGGGAATGCTTGAAGAAGGGGAGGAGTAGAAAGGAGATGATGAGCATGCCCGTTCTTGACCAGGTTCAGGGTTTGGTGGACTCTCTGTATAATCTGATAGTTCAATGCATTCTTGCGGCTCAAGTGATTCTTCTTTACTTCCCTCTTCTGAAATCGGGAAATAACTTTCCCCAGATATCGCATTCTCATCATGGTCTCCCTCTTGTTCTTCTTCAACTAGAGTATAACTGACACTTGGTTCTTCCAATTCTAGTTTCGTCATTTGCACCTCCACTGAACCTATACTTATAACACCACTTGTCGTTGTAGCTCTTTTGTTTAAACGTTGCAATCCAAAACGTCCACCGGCATTACCTTCATCATCACCATTACCATTACCAACAATACCAACCATAGTTTTACTTCTACGCATCTTGAAACCTATCCTTACTCTTGTTCAGACCCTTTCCCTTAAAGGCAAGAGAGAGATTGCAGTTCTTAAAGTTGTTGATTCCTCTGTCTCTTATATACTCCTGGTGATTTGCCAGAAATGAAGAAAAGCGATCGGCGGCTAATTGTTTTTTTTTAATTGTTCGGCCAAAGTATAAAAAGGGACTGGGTTTGAAAGAAACACAACTGTGACTTCTTCTTTTTAAAGGTGTATGTGAGTGTATTGGTATATAGCCGCTGAACTAACTAGTTATAAGTGGATGTTGCTTTTATTTGGTATGAAGAGCAAGGGGAATGGGGTATAATGGGCCCTTTGAATGTTGAATTTCTGTGAGTAGTTACTGGTATCCTCTTCTTCGTTATGGTCCTGGCTTTTAAAAAAACATAATGAGGCAAAAGAGGCAATAGAAAACTGTTCCTCGTCGATTTGGCAATTATAATAAGGATATGTGGTCCTTTATTGTCTCTGGCTGATGAAACCACTGTCTTTTTAGGTTCAAGTATGTCATAAACCACCTCTCTTTAATACTTCCTGATGGAATATTTATCTGGTCACGTGATCTATTGTAATTCACGTGACAGGTTATTCGATGAGTTGAATTATTCCGAAATTATATTCAAAGTGGAAGAGAAGAGAAGAGAACAATGCTAACGACAATGTGCATATATAGCTCATCCTTTAATACAAAGAGTTGAGTATATACAATAAAGGCGTATGAAATTTGATTCTACAATTTAATAAATGGTTATACTTCTTACAAAGTAGTAATGGTATACAACTGTTTTCAGGAAACTTACCAGTTAATTGATGAGTGATGCAAAACAGCATTAATAGCAAACCTGATATAGAATTAACATCGTCGGTAATACTTGAAAGTGCAACTGGGAATGGTAAAGGCAATAGTAATAGTAATGACAAGCTTAAGGGTAATATAAAATTACAAGTTTGGCCTCAGGTTAGATTTTGGTTTCAATATTTAACTTTGTCAATGTTAGGAGTATTCACAAGAGAAGCTATTACGTCTTTGTCCAATTATGAAAATTCTTATGTTCAAGCAGGAAGTGTATTATGGTCAAATTTCACAGCATGTTTAATTATGGGTCTATTGCAAGAGATGAATTCGGCAAATTGGTTTGTGAACCACCCTGAATTATTTACTTCACTGACTACAGGATATTGTGGTTCTTTATCGTCATACTCAACAATGATGCTCGAAACATTTGAACATTCTGCAAGTTTAACACGTCCAAATATTACCCACCACACTAAATTACCAAATAGAGCATATGGGATTATGGAATTTCTTTCTGTTATTATAGTACAGATGTTTGTCTCTATGGACTCGCTACTCTTTGGCAGGTATTTATCAAGAGAAGTGATTATATGTCATTTTAATGGTAAAAAAGATGACGACGATGAGATAGAAACTAACAGTTCAATTGAACCCTCATCATTTATTTCTAGAACGATAACCTACCTCAATTACGTTACATGGATCATGGCTATCCCACTAATTGCTTTAATTGTAACTCTAGCGGGTGTTTATGGTAACTACTCAAGAGGGAAATGGACATTACCTACCCTATTTGGTATTTTCGGATCATTTGGCAGATATTACATTTCAAAATTACTTAATCCTAGACTAGCTAATTTTCCAATAGGTACTTTTACAGTCAATCAATTTGCAGTCATCTTCATCACAGTATTGGAACTTGTTCAAAGAGGAAAGAAACATAGCAATGGCAATATCCCAATTATCAATACCGTGAATGCATGTCATGTGACTGCAGCTTTAAGCACTGGGTTTTGCGGTGGTTTAAGTACCGTCAGCACATTTATAAATGAAGGTTACAAGATGAAATTTATTCACCTGTTAAGATATTTTGTAAGTTCGATTAGTGTTTCTTACGCTATATGTGTCATTATTTTAGGTTCATACTCATGGAGCGTAGGTTTAACAGTTCCAGTATGTTAATCATAATTCATATAAAATAAATTTAAGAACCATTTGTTACCATTAATATTCAAAGTGTAGTTTGCATATTTTTATAGATTTTATTCCATATTAGAATAGCCGTTTTCATTACATTAATAATTAATAATAATTTACTCTTTTGTAGTTGATGAGTATTCTTACAATGCTGATTTGTTTATTAAACAAAATGCCTTTTATAATTAAAGGCTTATTTACCTCATTTTTGAGTATTTATGTGAAATGTCTATTTAATTATTATTTATTATTCTTCTGGTGGTAATTGATTGTTCTTTGAAAGAAATTGTGGAAGAAGCCCACTTACTCTCCATCTCCATCTAATCTTCTTTCTAGCTTCGATGAACCACATCATGGTTGATGAATCTAGTACATTCTTTTCTTTACTGATGACTTTATTATCGCTAGTCTCTAATATGACTTGAAGACTTTTAATTAATTCATCTGAGAATTTGTCATCATGTAGGATTTCTAATCTAGTGGAATTTATATTCCTGTTGTTAATTAATCTACCTTCATTTTCATAACTGATAAAGCTATTCATGTCGCTTGCCATGCTAAAATTGGAACTTTCAAATGACGTCTCAAATTCATATTCTTCAAATGCTTTGATTGCAGCTTCATATTTGGAAGCACAAGCTCCACATACGATTTCTTTGAACTTGTTGTTATCCGGCAACAATGAACTGATTTCATATAAAGGTTCTTCACAAACGACACATCTTATCAATAAATTTTCTTCACTTATTCCAGATAAATATCTATCTTTATCAGATGGGGTATGTGGTTTAATAATATCGCCTAGAATGCAGTTTAAATATGGGCTATTGGATTCTTTATTAGCTTGATTCCCAATATGTAACCTACTATCAGCTTCTTCAAAGTCAACTGTTGAATATTCAAATGAAGTTTCTATCGTATGGGTTGCAAGCGATAGTTTTGGTTTTGCTAAATGTGAAATTCCACTGTTCTTCAATTTACGTAATTTTAAAGGAACATGACCATCATTCCTTTTATTAATCTTGGTCTTGAGATCAGATAATGAAATCTTTCTTTTATTAGAATGGTAAATTGCACTGTCATCTTGAGGAATATAATCTTCAACAAGTACAATCGGATGTCTTTGTTCCTTCATAGAATTATGCGTAATTATACTTTTATCGAAATCCATGTTAATATCATGGATCATGCCATTAGTTAGGTTTCCATCAATCTTATCTTCATCGGTTTCTCTTGTACGCTTATTTTCTGTCCTAATAGATCCTAGTTCAAATAAAATGCTGTCACTCGCAGGATGTGGTATAGGTAGACTAGTGAGCTTACTCTCATCAATTAAGTCCAGCTTAGAAGTTGAGTTGTTTAGTCTAGATGAAACTTTTGGCCTGGCGCCCATGATTAATGAACGTCTTTTCCTTCCTTGAGGAAATTTCTGTTGAACAGTTTCAGCTTTTCTTTTCGAAGGAGTACTGTTACTTTGGAATTGAAATTCTTTACGTTCAAATTGCCATTTAACAGGAGTATTCTCATCGTTTTTTGATATTGGTGAATTTACGGTTTTCATACATGAAAACTTCAATAAACTATCATTTAAATTAACCTGACTACCAGTAGTAGACGGTGATGCAGATAAAAAAGAAATCGAGTTAGTATCTAATTGGTCCAAGACCCTGGAACGAGAGGATTCATCCATTGATTACCAAGTATCTGTCCCTATATATAGAAATATATTTTCTTAATTAATAGCAATTATGTAGTATAATACCTCGACTTGTCTTATCCTCAATATATATATTTCAATGAACAGTAAGACCAAAATAAAAATCCAATAACAAGAACTTTTAAGTATCGAATACTTCAATAACATATACAATTCCTCATCATTAAATATAAAATCAACCTATCCAAAACCAGATCTATAATTAACTTAATAGCACCTTGTACCTGTTACTTTACACTTGTCGTTTCGAATTTAGGTTTCTTGATGTCATTACCATATATAGATAAAATCTTGATCTGGTGTTTACTAATTTCCTATTATGGGTAAATGTATATCACGTGCCTATATTTTTTACTATATTAGGTAACGTGATTTCTTAATCTGGTGATGTATTTATTAACATACCTCTCCAAGTATGGTTGTAAATTGATTAACAAGAGCAGTCGTTTGTATTTGAGGATATAAAGCAACCACTGTTACAAATTGAAACTATAATTGATTAAATATTGGTATTATATTGAATGTTGCAAAGAAATAGATACTGAAAGTTTACTATAATTGATATTACTTATTGTAGGAAAGGGAGGAATTGAATCATGTTGTATTATCTTATAGATTGCGAACAGTCTTTTGAACCATTAGAATGGTTTCTGTAATTCTTGAAAGTTGCAATGGTACAAATCCTAAATCTTGTAACAGTTTATTAGTTTCGTCATTTGATGCGAGGTTTTCATGTGCTTGCTTGATTTTATTTGAATACGATTTATATAAATCATCAGCTGATCCTCTTAAATCTTGTAACTGTTTTTTTATATTAGATTTAGTGACTGGGTCCTTGATTCGTTTAATGTTGTCTAGTGTCTTCAAAGTGCCTACTTTCATCAAATAACCATGAGAAAGATTCCACATTGTCCTGTTTGATAATGGAATTGTTTCTGCAGATAATAATTTTGTTAAATTTTCACCATTATTCTTGTATAGATCAAATATGATATTGAATGACCAGATTTCATCTTCTGTTAAATTCATCTCTAGAATTTTGGACATGTCGTTGTTAAAAGTACTCAAAATAAGCTCATCGATTTTACCATTTGTTGAATTTGTCGATACAGCATCGATCATTAATTCTTTGATGATATTAATCATAATCGCTGTTTCAGAAACTTGCATACTCCGCATAATGTTTGGAAGCTCTTTTTTATTGATATTGCAATTAAAACTACTCCAATCTCTGTTGTCAGAGAAGGTAATATTACCTGTAATTTCGATATTCCTCCATGATTCTTGCATTTTTTTAATCAATGGGCCACGTTTATCATTAGAAATTCCTGCTAATTGTAACATTTCTATTTCTTTTAACCATTTCATTGAAGATCTTTCCAGTTTATCTCTAAATTCTATCATACCTAAGATTTTACTGTAAGCTTTCCTCTCAAATGCAATTCTTATAAATTGTGGTAAACGATTTAATGAACCTTCATATAAATTTCTGATAGATTCTCTAAAATTGATGAAGTAATCATGTTGTTTCTGAGGGAATAGCGTCGACATTCTGCTGTATATTAGATGATCAATGATATCATTTTGAACATTTTTAATTTTTAAATCCAAATAATTACTATATGCTATTGGAATGCAACCTAAATGCATATAACTTACAATAATCCATAATTTTGTATCAAAGTTATGCTCATCTTTTACTTGATAATTCTCAAGCAAAGTTAAACTTAACAAAATATCTTCTAGGCTAGGGTCTTCTTTTAGAAGTAGCTTTTGCACTAAATCCAAAATAAAGACACTATTTGAGGAGTAATCAGTTATAGCCTTTGAATTTAATGATTCCTTGTGTTTCATATATAGTTCTGATGAAGTAGAGTCATTGATATTTAACTTAAATGTATTAGCATCATGAATAACATCTTCAGATGAAAATAAATTGAAGGTTGACTTGATCGTTGCTTCATCTAAATGATTTTTATAATTGTTAATGTCAATTGAAGAGCATGCTTTGTTGTGAAATTTCTCCAAATAGAATTTCAATGAATCATCGGTGATTTTTGAGTCATAAATTAAATCACCTTCTAAGAAAGATAGTCTATAATTTCTTGTATCTCCTACTAGGGATAAAATTAATTGTCCCAATTCTTGTTTAGATTTCCCAAGAGCTTTCCCTGATCTTAAAAAGTGTTTAATCACATCATAATCATCAATGCTTTTTAAAATAATTTGACAGCTGTTAAATAACAATTGGTTATCTTCAATGATTGAAGCATTATGAACAATAAAGTTTTTTAGTGTTAAGTTAACTGATTTCTCTAAAGTTGGGAATATCTCTTGGACAATCTCCGATGCCTTGGCTCTGTCATTTGGGAACAATTGTTCACAAATTGTACAAAATACAATTAATTCCTCATGTGAATTAAATGGTTTTAAATTCGATATTGTCTTGTAGGCTAAAGTTGGTAAGATACGTTTCTCTTGCTCAGTAATTCTGTGTGGTTGGAATTTGAATAAAGCTGCGATTGAGATACCATACCAAAAATTGAAATCTCTATTTTGCAAATAAGAAGAGTATTCGCTATTTTCGTTTGAATATTTTACCATTTGTAAACTTGCCTTAGCCATATGCATAAAATTTGAATCATTTAGCGATTTATCGAACCAAGCTGATGCCAATTCAAAAGTTGGATACTTGAAGATGGCCCTTTCGTAGACATTCAATGATTCAGGATATCTTTCTAGTTCAATGAAAAATGTATGCAAAAGATCTAAAGCCTTAAGATCACTAGTTATGAGTTTACCATTAATTCCAAATTTTTCACCTAATAATTTCTCATAATCAAATTTTGTAGGACTTTGTTTGTACTTGATATATGTTTCTAACACTTCGAAATAAGAAGATTTTGGGTACTGTCTCCTCAATTGACCTATCCTTTCATTGCATAACCTGAAGTTAGACTTCTTAATCAATTCAAAAATCTCAGCTTCGATCTTGTCAGACATTATGCTCTTCTTGTAAAGGATATGGATCGAATGTAAAACTATCAAAAAGAGTGTACAGAAATGAATCCACCTTTAAAGGAATACCAGAGTGCCAACGATAATATAGACAGTGTCTTGGTAGGAATCAATTGGTTCTAATCAAGTTGTGATAGCACTTTTGTATCTTATTTTTAAATGTAGAAGTATCAATTGAGTTTAATGAAATTTTTCAAAATTTATCAATGGTCTCTTCTCTGCTTATTTGGAAGTTAAAAAAAAAGCATGAGCATGAACCAGAACAGATTCTAGTAGTTGTCATTAATTGGAAGAACGATATGGACTCAATCTGGATTTTTGCAGGCATGGTATGTTCAATCTTGAATATTCCAGAAGAATTGGGTCCAGATAGGATCAAATAATCCATTTCCGTCTCTACTTCCCTTCCTCTAGATACACATATATTTAAAGATGCAAGATTAATTTATACAGAGGCTAATAACTCCTTACCAAAGGTACACAGTTACACATTCCTCCTCTCCCCCAATTCAATGAAATCATATCTTTTTAAACTAAAACAACTATATACATACACAGAGTGCAACGTTTTCGATATGCACCATAATAATTGTCTTGTAACAGAAGTGTGAGGATGGAAATGAATATATATATTATAACTTTTCTTGTAATATTAAAATAGGAATCAAGACAATGTGAGTCTTCCACCTCTTATTATTCAATAGAACAGAACAGAACAAAACAAAACAATGGAAACTAATGGAAACGAATCCTGGGTCAGTTCCCTAGTGTTTGGCATCTTCAGAAGCATGTTTAGCCAAATATTCTTGGATAAACTTCTCCTCATCCTTAGAGCTACTGTTAAACTCAACCTTTTTAGGCTCAGAAGCCTTGAATGGGTTTGGAATAGCAACTAAAGCTAAAGCACTCAAAGTACCAATAGCCAAATAGTGCGATGGAACATTTTTACCCAAAATCTTATAAGCAGAACCCATCTCAAAACCTAATATATAATAAAAACCTAGTAAAATAGCAATTTGCTCACCTCTAGAGTCTCTTAGAACCTTGACAGATCAGTTAAAGTATCTTAAAAACTGCCATAAAGTTCATCAAATGTTCAAAGGTTCATTAAAAATGGTGAAACTTTGTCAAATTTAAAGGATTTTGGTGAAGATTTCAGCTGGAAAAAAAGATCATGAGATTTAAATCAGATGGGTTTGACCAATCAGAAGAGAGATAGGGTTATATTTGTAGTAAAAAGCTTATAAGACACTGAGTATTGTTACTGATATTGTTGTTTAGTTGTTTGTTGGTTTTAGGTGATTTTTAAGAGCTTTTTGGTAATATTTAGTTGCTTTTACGTTTGTAAGGGGGATTTTGCACTAAGAGAACCTTACTAGAAAAATTAAATTAAGGTTGAAAAGTAAGAGGTTATTTTAGGATTTGGATAAGGTAATTGTGGTTAAATTATGAAGGGATTTTTTATTTTGGGTTGTCTTCTGTTGTTACAGACAGTCGCATTTACAATTTTTGATGATCGTTGGGATGATATTTGGTCACGAGTGACTAGTTTCCCTAGAAATAGACATCAGTCTATTGACAGAAAGGTTGGAACTGATGATTTCGAGCATATAGAATCTGTCTATGATGAGGATTATAAGCTAAGGATTAGAGCGGTTGATCCTTTGAAGTTGAATATAGATACAGTCAAACAGTGGTCTGGTTATTTGGATTACAAGAAATCTAAACTTTTTTTTTATTGGTATTTTGAAAGTAGGAACGATCCTGTGAACGACCCTGTTATCCTATGGTTGAATGGTGGGCCTGGCTGTTCCTCTTTTACTGGATTGTTGTTTGAATTGGGTCCTTCTTCTCTAGGTCCGGATCTAAAACCAATTCATAACCCTTATTCATGGAACAATAATGCTTCAGTAATATTTTTGGAACAGCCATTGGGGGTAGGTTTCTCATATGGTGATTCCAAAGTGTCATCTACACATGCCGCCGGTAAAGATGTTTACATATTCTTAGAATTGTTCTTCAATAAATTCCCAGAACTAAGGAAAAATGGTTTCCATATCGCAGGTGAATCGTATGCTGGTCATTATATCCCACAGATTGCCCATGAAATTGTATTCAAGAATCCAAAGAGAACATTTAATCTCTCTTCAATATTAATAGGTAATGGTATAACAGATTCATTGGTTCAAACTCCGCAATATGCCCCAATGGCTTGTGGTAAAGGTGGTTATCCACAAGTTTTATCTGACGAAGAATGTATTAAGATGGAATCGCATATAAAGCGTTGTACTTTCTTGATAAATTCGTGTTATAGGACTCAATCTAGTTTTCCCTGTGTTTCAGCAGCTTCTTATTGTGATTCCGTCGTTTTAAATCCATATTCAAAGACAGGCTTAAATGTCTACGATATTAGAGGGCCTTGTGAAGATAATAGCAACGATGGTCTGTGTTACAATGGTCTTAGATATGTGGAACAATTTATGAATAAAAAATGGGTCCAACGTTTATTAGGTTCTGATGTTAGCGAATACAAAGGTTGTAATGATCAAGTATTTCTGAGATTTTTCCTGACTGGTGATGGGGCAAAACCATTCCAACAGTTTGTTGCTGAGTTAGTAAATGCAGGTATTCCAACGTTAGCCTACGCTGGCGATAAAGATTATATATGTAATTGGCTAGGCAATAAAGCTTGGACAGATGCCTTAGAATGGGCTGGTAAAGAGCGTTATGATTATCTTCCATTGAAACCTTGGTTAAGTACTAGTTCTAATAAGGAATTTGGTCAAGTGAAAAGTTATGGTCCATTGACATTCTTAAGAGTGTACGATGCTGGTCATATGGTCCCATATGACCAACCAGAGGCAGCTTTAGAGTTGGTCAATTCTTGGATTCATGGAAATCAATCCTTTGGCTACAAAGGATAGATCTATTTTTTTCTAACTCCGTATTTTTTTTACATATGTGGATTGATATTTCCTATTCTCTTAATCTAATGATTGGATCGCATTTTATTTAAAGGTTACATATGACTAAATATTATTAAATCTAGTAAAATATAAGTAATATATTTTTGAAAATCTTCTATTAAAGTCTATATAAGTTTTTTATATTTGTGTTTTTATATTCTACTGTTATCATATGCCATTTTATAAAGAATTTTTGTCGTCAAGAATTTTCTCTTGAATGTTAAGTTGGCAACATCCTTCAACGACCCATTTGTTACACTATTATCAGTTTTCTTTGAAATTATATTGACAAGAAGAGAAAGACCATTTTTGTGCAAAAACTCTAATGATTCAGTGTTGTACTTGGATAAAGAATTGTATTCACGATGTTGTACAACTAATTCAACAATAGAAAATGCAAGTTCAGCACCCAATGATGTATGTTCTAATGTGGACTGTCTTCTTATCTCTGTGATAGTAATGTCATAAAATCTGAAAACACAAATAGGTTTCATTAACAACAATTGACGCATAATTAATAAGAACCTGAATTTACTAGGTTCGTCAAACACAGTGCTGCTATACATAACTGCACTTTGGTACAATGAAACTCTAGAACATTCTGAATCTGAATATAACCAGTTCAATAAAACCTCTGGTATCTTGTTATCCTCATCAAATGAAAACATAAGTCCTTCAAATTCAATAGCGTTTAGTATTTCAATAAAACCTTTTGGAGGTAGGATCAGGAATAGTGCCAACAAATACGACAAATAATCTGTTGATTCTGGATTCAAAGTATGTTCATAGTAAGTATTCCTAAACAATTGCTCGATACAATAAAGAGATGTAGTTTTTATAGATGAGATGGATAACCCCTTGCATAAGAAAGATATAACAGTATGGGTAAAGTTTTTCTCAGTCCAATGTGTATCATATAATTTCTCTAATTCGGATATCATAGGTTCTGAAAAAGAACGAACTTCAAAAAGTGATGTAACCACTAACCTATTATTAGATTCACTTTCAAATTTAGTCATGTATATTCTCTTTAATACGTTAATTAAAAACAATAAAGCTCCCTCGAAGATAGTTAAATGTTCGGAAGTTAAGAAAGTAGTTGACAACCAGAATAATTCCTTCATTATTGGCAATGATGGATCTAGACCTTCAACAATCTTACTGTAACTAAAAATGTGTGAGATTACCATGAAAATTTGCTCATCTGATACAATAGGGTCGGCTACGATATCGATTGTTTGTCTTAAGAGATGGCGACAAATAGCTTCAGTTGTCGTGTACTTATCGATGATACCTAATATCATTACAGCTCTGGCAGATAAAAATGAATTGGTCTTGAAGATGTAGTCCATTATATATTTTCTGAAATTGGCCTTCCAATATTCAGTGCCTGATGAATCAGCATTATCAATTACCAGCATTATATTATCAATGAAGTATTCAAGTGTGCAAAAATTGCTTGAAAAACTAATAGCACTCAGTTTTTGCAAAACTCTCCCTCTATCTTGACTAAAACCATAAATAAATTTAAGTTTCTGTAATGAAAAAATACTACAAATTTGTTCCAAATTTTTCTTTTTAGTATCAGCTAATAAATGATTCACTGTCAAAGAATGGCACACGTTCATTAAAAGCTTGTGAACTTCGGTTCTTACTTTCATTGGACCGATATCAATCAGCAACGCTGCTATAAATAATACTTCAGGAAGGAATTTCTGAGCTATCAAAGTATTGTGGAAGAATAAACGGACACTAATATTCAACAAAATTAACAATTCTGACCAACTATCGACTGCTCCTTCATAATCCAAAGATCTGGAGAATGAATTTATTTCATTCATTAATCTAGAAATTATTGTGGCAGCAGTATCTACAATCGGTAAAACATTTATTAATGGTAAAACGCTCTCCCAATCCTTGTTTTCATATTGTCTTTCTAGTGCATGTTCAATAACCTCATTAACAATGAATTTTGTAAACGATGTCTCCACTGTTAAAACAACCCATATATTCTGAATATAGGTAGCTGAGTAGTGTTCATCTCTAACAGTTAATCTAATTAATGTCCTTACTATGCAACAGAAAGAGTTTATTCCTTCTTCTTCATCAGATAAAAACACAAAGTTATATAAACCTGGAATCCACTGGGATAAACATGCGAGGATATCGGGTACTAGCTCTTCTTGGAAAGTTAAATTTGTTAAAGCATCCAGAATTAGTTTACAAATAGGACCTGTTAATTCCGGTGAACATTTGGCAATTGATCTAAATATTTGCTGAATAAATGGGACTGACTCATCAGGAACAAATATTTCTGGAGCACTGTGCAAATAGAGGCCAAAATTCAATTTGTATGAACCTTGTGTAGCAACTAACAGATTGTAAGATTCACGTTTTACTATGTCATCATTGCTTAACAAACCTAATAATACCATTAATAAAATATGTGAAATTGCTGTTAATCTTTGTTTTGTATCTAACTTGGTACTATCCTCATCATTTTCTGCAAGCGAAATATCTTCATTTTCTAAAGAATAATCGAATTCTAACCTTTGGATAGATTGACGTAAAATTTTGATAATTTCTAAAAACTTACTACTTTTTAGAATCACTTCTTCATTTGAGAGATTTATTATAAATTCTGAATCCGATGCAATTGAGACGTCAATTGATAAAATATCAGAAATACGATAGATGCTGTTATATTTTATTCCATTGTAGCCAGTCTTTCCAATAAACTTAATTTTATCTGGTATCTCATTTAATATCTGTAAGTAATGAGTACCAATTTTCATTGTTGCAGGTACAAATTTAGCAGTTCTTTCATTATAAAGTTCTAAGTCTTTTAATGATATCCTTGTATCACTAACAAGTTCGATTGCTTCATTTGAAAGATTTAGTGACTTGATAATATCTCTATGTTCACTACTGTTAACAAATAAGCGTGTCTTCACAGAATTTATGTTACTATCAATCTGCTTTAGAATCTTTATCCAACGGTTGACAAAGTTACGAGAAGGATTTAAGTAATAGAATTTAATACAATTTTCCTTAATTTTTGCTGGTAACAAACTTGAAAATGTGGCCACCAATTTCAAAATACCTTCTTCCTGTTCTTTGTCATACTCTGTACAGTCTAGAATAAAGTAATGCTTTGTTGTCCAAATTCTGGAATAAACTTGTATTACACCAAATATTATATCATCAAAATTAGAGTCAAACGTGACTATTTTCCTTAACATCATAGACAACGTTGGGAAACCATCAGAAGAAATTGATACATGAAGAAATGGGAAATCTCCTATTGAACAGCCACTAGCATGTTTTGAAATATGTTTCGACATAAACTCATATAATCGTGGATATAAATCCATGTTTTCTTTAATAAATTCAGGAATCTCATGTCTCAACTCAATTTTAGGTTGGCCCATATTCTTCAAAATGTTGTCAAAAAACGTAATAACATCAGTAATATATTCTCTATCCTTTTGTATACCATATTCCCCCAATAATTGTTTTCTGATCTCAAGTTCGTTAAAATATAAATATCTGTGGAATAATGATATATCGCCTGGAGTTTCATCAAATTTCTCTTTACATTCTTTTACGAGTGGACGGTCTAACTTACTAATTTCAATCAAAAATGCAAATATTCTAATGCTGCAATTTTTCAAAAATTCTGTTTCCCTCTCTAATAACTGCCATTTTATCCTGTTATCAATACCATTTGCTAAACTCTGAATTACCTTCGCCAAGGCTATAAGTGATTTCCTAAACTTCAGTTCGACGATTGGAATGATGTTTTCTGATTCTGGGCTAACAACAGCAGGGCATAAGAACCTTAAAAAGAAGAATGAGCCTACTGCAATTATCGCATGCTCGGGAAACTTCTCTAATGTAGTAGTATGGATATTCTGACATATTGAGAAAAAATCTGGTGGGAAATAAGTGATAGACTTTTCAATTGAAGTAATAACTTTATCCATATATTTCTTAAATAAACGAATGTTTCTTTCTATTTCCACTTCATTATCTCCTATCCTTTCAATATCAAAATGCTCATCGAGTTCAATCAATTCCATGAAAACTGTTGATAAAGTCTTAACAAGATATTCATGTCCTACTTTTCTAGTGTAAATAGACAAAGCACTTGTAACACAATTGTTTCTTCTCAAAATATTAGTAGGACGGGAGGTCTTACGAATGTCATCCCTCAACATTTCGTTGACCATTGTTGTAACACCACTACTATTTTCAAACAATGTCATAAAACCAGATGCAAATTCGTCAGCTTCATATGCAGGACAAGCTCTGCCAATTTTCGAAATCAGCGCTGGATTAGCCTTGCAAAAATTAATTACACTTTCTGATGTCTCTATTTTTGTACATTCATCCTCCTTAACTTTGAATGGTACATTTTTGACAATATTGGTGAAAACTTCTAAGAAAGCTATTCTTATCTCTTTGTTTGGAGAATAACCAAGTGGAAGGGAATATTTGAAACTTGCATCCTGGTTTATCTTCGATAAATTGGTTAAGGATATAATCAAATATTCATTCAAAGATTTCAACCTTGGTCTTAGGAATGGTGGATACTTCTCCAAGTATGAAAATGTTTCCAGTCCCTTTAAAAGTATACTGAAATATTTCCCAAACTCAACTGTCTTGGCCTTTTTAACTTCTTCCTCGGATAATGATGGTGGAACTTCCAATGGTACACAATAAGTTAAGTACTTTAAAGCTTTTGAAGTTTCTAAGCATGTCTCTAGAGAAAGCATGTCAATGTCCCTTTTTAAAAGATTCATCTCTCTTAGTGGTTTAATCAAATTGTCAAGGTCACATTCTTGGTTTAATGAATGGTTAAACCACTGAGTAACTAATTTTAACCATCGATTCTTCAAGTTATAATGGCCCTCGATTGCTAGCTTCCTTTCATTTGTTTGTACTGCTTGGAATAATCTTGACATATAAATTACAGATTTAAAGTAATTTAGAGATGACTTTGGAATGTTGCTAATTACTGAAGTTAGGAGATCGACAATAAAAATTAAATCAGTTGAAAACAAAACCATAGTACTATGTACATTATCATTTCTTTCCAAAACAACACGAATAATTAAAATACTTTGTTCCAAAAGAATGAAATAATGTTCGTTTTCTTCAAGTGATAAGTCCAGGGAAACAATTTCACCTAATCTTTTTCTAAGGTTTCTGAACAATAGGTAGAATACTAGTGGGTGCAATTCATTGCTTAATATATCTCTTGAGTTCTCACGTGTTAGTAGATCAGGATCATTAATCCACTGACATTGTTTAGCAACAAAAAAGTCTAATTTTCTAATTAGGTTTTCACGATGCAACACTACGTATTCATATTTATCTGCATTGTGAGTAGTTAGTGTGACACCACTGGTAACGGCAATGATCCCAGCTATATTTCTGAAATCAGTGAATTCTTCTTGTGATAGGCACTTCCTCTTGTTACTCAAGTGGAGCCAACGTTCAAACATCAATGCAAGAGAATCGAATATCAATGGATCTGGTGAAGTTACGTATTTGTGTATATTGGTTATAATTCTTCTCTGTGCTGCTAGTGCACCTGATCCAATTTTGCTTTCTACCGAGAAAGCTTTAATGAATTCTAAATTTTCTACACCTGAGATAAATTTATCACCTAAGATATTGCCGTAGCATGACATGTAATCTTCAACTCTTGCATATTCATCCACTAAAAGTTTTTGAACACTAGGCTTGCTACAGTAAAGTGAAACATACAACGCACGTCCAGAAACTTGAGTCAATGTTGAGGATAGGGTACCCTCTGCATCTCTTAAAACATTAATAAAGCCATTCTTTTGTGCAATTTCAATTAACTTCCTCCTTGCGCCAACAAATTTCAGAATACATGAAAGCAACTTTTCTCTTTTCAAATGAGATAGGTTCATGTCAAGAAGAGTCATATTGAATAGACCCATCATAAAGATACAAATAAGGTATCCACCTTTAACAGAATCTTCTGAAGTTTCATCAGTGAATGTTAATGAAAATTTGACAAGAATATTCAAAAATGATTCACTTGTGCGTGAAACAAATTCATCTGAATCCAGAATACCGACTAATGTCGATTTACTGATACTTTCAAAACGAAGTTTCAACCATTCTAAATCAACTGGTACCGTCCTGTCATGGTAGAAATAAATGGTAGTTCTAGAATAGATTTTAAAAAGTCTCACTAAAATCTTTCTCACTTCATTGTAATCAGTAGTATTAGAGGACGGAGATGTTTCTGGAGTTAGTGAATCTCCTGTTGTCGTTTTCAGTTTAGACTCTTCGGGTATTTTTTTGCCTACAAGTAATTTTGAAGGTGACTTACTCATCTTTACGTTAGAAATCGAAATCGATTTAGACATTTTAACGTTTGAAAAGGAAGATGATTTGCCCATCTTTACACTTGATGTCAAAGGTGATTTTGTTCCCTTCGAACTGGAAGACGCGTGAGTTTTGGTTAATTTCGTGTTAGAAAAGCCTAAGGAACTGTTTGATGTCGTAAAGGACATTGAATCCATCCTAGTTAGCGATAGCGGAGTTGTTACACTATCCTCTGTAGAATTATTCGATTCCAGTTTTTGAAGTCTAATATCTTGATTCGATTGGTCTAGAGTTATATTAGAATCAGCAAGTTGCGTATCACTTAACGATGCAGCTAAACTGGATATATCATTAACTGGTATCCATGATGCTTCTAAATCACAGTGGTATTTTTCATTGATTTCATCATCAATCTGTTGTAATACTGTGGCTGAAGGTGGTGAATATGAACTTAAGCTCATTGGAAAAAATGCACCTAGAGATAGTCTTTCATCTAGAGTACCATTTATTATGCAATTGATATTTTCTTCTAAACTTTCTTGAGGATATAACGATACTTCTTGCAATTTTTCACCACACGATGACAATAAATTTTTGAAAAATCCCCCAGTTGCTCTTGTTACAATGGTCCATATTTCATTGGGACAAATTAAATAGAAAAATATTCTAAACCCTTCAGTATACAACCCTAGTAGTTTTAAATCAAAATTTTTTGACACTTCTTCTAAGTTTAAGCGTGCTAAAAATTTATGAGGCTCAAGTTGTAAAGAGGCAGCAAAAAATTTTATTTGGAATCTAGCAAAAGAGGTTTTATTTCTTGATAAACAGTTACTCAAAATTGCATTTCTTCTTCCTTTCCAATCATAACCGACCTTTAAGTTTTCACCTAAAATACCAAATAGTCTTTTTGATAATATGACGGTTGGTGCCTCAGAATCAACTAATGAAACGGAGGCTGAAACTGTGTACAAAGTCAAAATTGCACGTACTGTGTCCAAAATTGCTATATCTGAGGCTATCGAAGAACCATTTAAATTTTTTAATAAGATACTCAAAAACTTGACAGTTTTCTTTCTATGCGGAGTCATACTTTTTAATTTCTTTAAGCCATTCTTGAAATTCCAGATACCTGAACTTCTGGAAGCTGAATATTCTGATTCTTCTTCTTCTTTACTACCGTCTTTTGATGAGAAGCTTGATTTTCTACCTAGTTCTGGACGTGATCCATCTGCATTAAATATATATTTGAAGGATACAGAATTTATTTCAGTTAAAATTTCACGATCTAACATTACTATCAATGATAGAAATCTTAGGATCGATGCATTAGTTCCCAATTCAGTTTCTTCAGCTGAAGTATAAATGTCAGAAATGCTTTGTAAAGTTATAATTCTTGGTTGTATTAAAGGTGGTTGAGCCACATCTGAAAAAAAAAACTTATGATTTTCAAAAGTATTTTCACTACTATTATCAGATAAAATTGTATTGGTGTCAGTTCCTCTTCTCTCTAAACCAGGTCTCTGTGGAGTTGGCTTATAACTATCAACAAAAGTTATGTTTGGTTCCATATCTGAAGGTGCTGAAGCTATAGTAGTTAACGATTTAGTCGATGCAGATTGACCCAATTTCTTCTTTTTTGATCCACCAGGATATTGGCCCGATGAAGATGGCTGATTATGTGAAGCACTGCTACTTCCTTTACCAGATGATCCCAAAAGTGATGATACATTAAAATCTGAGTAAATTTGATCGAATAAGAATTCTATAGGACTGTCATATTCTTTGGGGAGTTGTTCTGGTTTCTGTTTCTTAGCATTATTGCTATGACTGTTATTATGATGAGTGTTATTATGTGTAGAATTGGATTTAGAATTTGGACTAGAATTAGAATTAGAACTTTCTTGTCTGGCTTCATTTTTCTTAAGTTCGGTTGTAGTGAAAAGGACATAGTCAAATGGTCTTGAGATAATCCATAGGACCAATGCCTTAGTAGTATGATGCAATAATACAGCGTTGAAGATTGAGCGTCTCAAAGTAATGGACAATCTTTTAACAATTTCCAAATAATGTAAAAGGTTTTGAGAAGTAATGTAAATGCAGCCGAAAAGATCGAATGATTTGATGACGTGAGTATCACTCAATGATCTATCTATCACTAGAGGACCCACAATTGTATTGTTTAAATAATTTAAAAAATCTTGTGGATTTGCGGAACCTACGAACCTCTGACAATATTCTACAGTCATATCTAGTAGTACAGCATCTTCTTTAACCAGTACGTCTTCTAGTCTAACTTGGAAATCTTGTATTAAAGTAAATCTTAAATGCTGGTACTTACCATATAGTTCATCTGTGGCATTTTTCATTAAGTTAATCGTAGTGGTATGAGATTTTAATTTTGAACAAAGGTCTAGAATTTTTATAACTAACTTTGAACTTATTGGTTTTGGTCTTGAAATTCTAAAATCGTGTCTTGAATTTGAAAAACCTGGTAAACAATTTGTATATAAATGTCTTTGTTTTAGATAAGTATTTTGTCTTTCGGTAGTTTCTAAATTTTCTTCTATTGAATCCCAATGTCGTGCGAATGCGTCATTTAGTAATCTCATTACAGTCAATACTGACTGTCTTTGATCTCTATCTATTCCATTTGAAGAAACACAAGGTTCGCCATTTAAGATTATATTTATCAAATCGATAGCATTTGAAGCGATGTCTTCTATCCCATGGGTGACCGCGATACTTAGTATAATATCTCTTATCGACAAGAATCTTTGATTTAATTCTACTTCACCATATGATGAATATAATGATCTCACAGGAAGTAATTCTACTAAATCCACTTGCAGATAATGTTTCAGCAATGTATCGATCATAGTATAGTTGTGTGTAAAAAATATGCAATGTAAGGTATATGTTATTAAAATGCTATTGAGATGGAATTATCTTTCTTTCTCTTTGAAAAATCCGTGTTATTTTATTATTGTAGATGTAACTTTTCGTTTTTTAGCCAATGGAAGTGGTACTAAATTTATGTTGGATGTAGTTGAAAAGAGGTTGACCCTGGAATGAGCGTTTAAAATTGTATTGTATGAAATATCTGATAGAATTGTAAAGTAGTGAGAGTGAAGAGAATATTTTGAAAAACGAAATAAAAATAGAATAAAATGAAATAAAATAGTTTTTCAGTTGATCTTGAGTTTAATTAATTCAAAGGGTAATTTGGAATTCAGTTACAGTCACGACTTTTATGTATTTTAATCTTTATCTCTTAATTTCAATGATTCTTAAATGTATGTGATTTGTATTTGCAGTTGAAAATTTCAATAGATTAAATAATGGAGAGTCATTATATATATAGAAACTAATCTAAGAATGGGAAGTTTTATTCTAAGATTCAGAAATTTTCAATTATATTATTTTCCTCTAAAACTAAAAAAGATGAAATATAATGTTAATATTTCAAATCCCACAACGAATATCCCAAAATAATAATCTGAAAAGAATGAATGGGATGGGATGGAATATCAGTTATGGAGGTAATATCTCTAACGAAGACAATCCCTGGTTTGTTGTTGCAGGAATATATTTTAATAATGATAAATGAAGCAAATAGTAGTAATTAAAAAAAAAAAATAACTAGGCAGGGGTAGATAGATACTAGGAAGGAAAGAGTTATAAAAGTTTTCCCAAAATTTGAATAATCTTAATATCGCTCTTGGGACTCTAGGTGTTTTTGTATTCGAAAACAGTAAAAAACAACTTGACTTCGAAGTACAGAGAGAGAGGATGGGGAGAAGAGAAGAGAAAATATACAGATATTGAGATAGAATGGGAATAAGTTGCCTATAGATATGCTAAAATATGAAGGTATTGTAATGGTAATTAATGGTAATTAATGGTAATGACGAAGACATTGGTGATAGTAATCGTAATCATAAGAGTGATTGGAATAAACCCGAGTAGAGATGGAAGATTGGAAGTGGAGAGTACGTAGCTAAATATAGGATATATAGGCATCCTTGATAATTTATTCTCTGATTAATATGTAGGTTTCTGCTATTGTTGTCAAAAGTATTTATTTGTTCATGAAAAAGAGATGAAGCAAGAGAAACGAGGGAGCAGGAGAGTTTATCTGCTTTAAATTCTGATGTTTCTTTCGTTATTTTGTTCTCTTGTGTTGTTTTCTGTTCTTTCCGTGTGTATGATGTGTGAATGAAGTTCCAATTTCGAATTCGCATTCGCATTCGAATTCGAATGCGAATGAGTTTTTGCTTTGGCTGTTCCCGGAGAGACACAAAAGCCCAAGAGAGGGAGAGGAAGAAGGAAAGAAAAAAAGAAATACAGGAAAGCGAGAGACACAAAAACCGTCACAAATACAAGCAGAAAAAGAAACGAACAAAAGAAATAAAATACGACAGCTGCGTATTATTAATATTATGTACACAAAAACACAAAAACACAAAAACAAAACAAAACAAAACAAAAATAAAATAAAATATTAAAAAAAAGAAAGAAGAAAAGCAATGAAAAACTTCTAAATTTATTCTGCATGAGAACAAAATGACCGAATATACAGCTTTCCAAACCGAATCCTAGGAATGGAGCACAAGTAGAAGGGAAGGAAAGGTAAGGTAAGGTAAGGGAAGGGAAGGGAAGGGATGTTTTTTTGATAAGAGATAGAAAGAATCGATTGAGATTATTGAATTTAACTGGATTGAATTAGAAATTAGAAATTAGAAATTAGAAATTATCTTTCCCAACAAATTGTGCAAAAAATTCTCTTCGGTACATACATCAACGACTACAGAAAGAGAGAGAGGGGGCGATTGAGGGATGATGTGGAAGAAAAGTCCGCATAGAGGGGTAGCAATCGTGGTAGTAACAGTAAAATTTTTATATGATTTCGAATTAAATTGAGTAATTGTAAACTAATTGAGACAGTTGGTTGGTCCACAACTCTCTTTGTGCTCAATTAAAAATGCTCTGGACGTCGTGAGTGCCCGTAATCATTTCTTTTGTATGATTTTTTTTTTCATTTGTAAGCTATTGATTATTTGATGGTATGGTATGGTATGGTATAGTATATGGAGCAAATTATAGCTTATCAATTGAATTTTTTATATTATTTGGTAATAAGAAAAATATTTGTGAAGGGAGTTGCGGTAGGATACCCTCATCTCAATCTTGTCTTTGTCGTTGTAGTTGGTGGGCTTGTTTTGCTTGGTATTACATCAAAAAGAAATTATATACGGGCATAATCCATCTTTATTCTTAACCGCATATCGTTACCCAGATTTCAGGCCCAATCGGTTATATCTCTGTGTCTGGCTTATCCTAGTCATTTGTGATAATATTGGGAGGAATCTATTTCTCACATTCGGATAAACATATGAGAGATTCTGACGTACAAAGGTCTGAATGAAAAAAAAACTGAAAACAAGAAACGAAAATCGGTTCTTTTTTATGCGGCAGATTATCCGAAGGGACAGATTTGGGAAAGCCGTTACTGCTGGTACTGGGGTTCCTGCACTGACGGAAAAACTTCAGGAATTAGACGGAAATGTTTTCCTTTTTGGGGTCTATGCGGTTACTAATTTCTGTGCGTGTGTCTGTATTTATTTATTTATATACCTACGTATTTCTTGAAACAATTTATATGTTGCTGCCAACTCTTCGTGCCCTTTCTCTTAAATTTATCTCCAGTGTCCGGCAGTAACATCTTCGATTTGTTGTTATATTGCTGTTGGTGTTTCTTTTCTTTTCTTTTCTTTTCTTTTCTTTTTTTGTAAATGTTCCGGATTCGAGTTGGGCTTGACGAAACGTCTGAGAAAGGTTTTTCCAGCCAACTCTAATTTCTCCAATGGAAAGAAAAAGAAAAGGCAACAGACTGAAAGACTGCATCCTCGTCGTTTACCATTGAAAATAAATTTACGATCGACTATTGTTTGATTGTTCTAGCTTAGCTTATCTTAGCGTAGCTTCGAACAGAATGAATACATGGATATAATGCATACATAACAATACATTAGATTTTATGGGCTGTCATCTACTTAACTAATATTACATCTTTAAAAAATACCATTACAAATCTATTCTTAATAATACTGACTGCATCTTTAGGTAATATCATATTTGATAATCCTATTTTCTTGCTTACATTCAAAAAATGTCGTTTTACTCTTTGTTTTACTCTTTGTTTTACTCTTTGTTTTACTTTCTTTTACATGAGGGTTCACGAAGTAATATTGTGAAATTATTCATACCAGGTTTATCATACAATTTAATCTTGTGATCAAATTCATTGTTCTCATGATTATTACGATATTTTGTACCTTGATTCTTCATTTCAAATAAGAAATAAATTATCTTTTTCGCTTCATATTCTTTCAGTATATTATATCCTAAATGATTCATTAATTTAATAAAATTATCTTTATTCATATATCTCGAATTGTTTATGCATGGCAATGGTAATACAATAAATATAAATGATCCTTTGCCATTATTGATCTTATCTTTCTTCAAAAAATCTTGGAATCTGACACACATATCACCTCTTTGTGACGGCGTAGGTACAAAATTTAACACTAGGGAGCATGATATCAAATTAAATTTATCTTCTTCTTTACTTGGAACTGGTCTTTCCATAAAATCTTGTTTCTCCACACCAGTCTCATCTCCATTATTTTCAAGATCAATCCTTACAACATTCCTGAAAATCCCACATGTACTTATGTAATTCTTAGAACTCAAAGACCCAATTTCAAGAGCTGTCATTGTTCGATCCATTGGAACATCAATCTCTTTTAACCATTCAATTAGTTTCTTGGATGAATCTCCACCACGATTATTATCCTGCCCAACCCTACTAGCTAATTGATAATCTTTCAATCCTCCACGTTCGTGAATCTCATTCATAATGTAGCCCAAAACCAGCATCTGTTCATCTCTAGATTTTATTGTCTGAGATCTTAGCATCATTTTCTCGATCTCTTCATTTTTACTATCTAGCTTTTCTCCTTTCTCATAATTCTTAATTTGAAAAGGTGTATTTTTCAAATAATCCTTTATTGCCTTCAAATTATGGACTTCATCATTATCAAATAGTTTGATCCCCAATGAATCACATAATATCTTCCTTTTACTAATCAGTACATGAAATCTCCTAATAATTTTTCTAGCTTTACTAGGTTTAATGCTCACTGTAGAGTTAACAACTTTCCTACCGGTAATAGTCCTCTTCTTTTTCGACAACATTGTTCTGAATAAAGCTAACTACTTCCTAAACAATATTACTTGCCCTCAGTCGACCTATTTCAATATTTTAGAACAAAGTAAACCATCTTGATCACTCTTTTGTTATATGTTCCATCATAATCTTCTTCTTCTTCTTCTTCTTCTTCATTCTCTATTCTTCCCATGTACTTTTTTTTTTTCAGTAAGCGATGAGATGAGATGAGATGAAAAAAAAAGTTTTGACATTTATTTAACCACTATTAATCAGATAACAGAAGATAGTTTAATTTGGTTGTTGAAGGTTATCTGGTACATCAATAAACTGATCTATTTGTAGATAAGCATTTGGAGATGGTGAATAAATTTCTTGCTGGAAGGTTGAAGAAATCCAAGGGTAAGTCCTTCAAGGGTTCCTCTTCGAAAGGCAATAGTAAAACCGTTAAATCTAACAATAATGACAATGTTGTTGTTAATGCAGCAGATTTAAAATGGAAGCCGGTTGAGATTCCTGATACTTTGGATGACTTTGAAGGGTTCTACGGATTGGAAGAAATTGATGGTGTTGGTGTCAAAATTGTAGGTGGTCAGGTTCAATTTGTTGCTCATGATGATACTAAGATTAATGGAAATGAAGATAATTTGGATTCAAAGGATAAAATTGAAATTGATGAGGATGCACCAGAGAATGATTTAGTAGAGTTCAAAAATATGGATGATATGAAGGATGGTGAATTGACTGATAATTCACAATCCGAATCTGAAGCTGAAGCTGAATCTGAAGCTGAATCTGAGGAGGAAGAAGAGAAAACTGGTGACGATGAAGGGGAAGATGGAGCTGAAAAAGTTGATAATGAAGTATTAAAGACCAACGTTTTTAATACAGATATTGATTTGGAGGATATTACACCATCTGATTTACCAGAATGGACAGAAAAAGTTGGTGAATTATCATTCACCACATTACACGGTTTGACTAAATTAGGTTTTAATAAACCAACCTTAATTCAAGAAGAAGCAATCCCAATGGCTTTGAAAGGTGAAGATATTATGGGTAAAGCCTCCACCGGTTCTGGTAAAACTTTGGCTTACGGTATCCCTATAATTGAAAAGCTAATGAAGTCAAAAAGCAATACTGCTCCAATTGGTTTGATTTTTACACCAACAAGAGAATTAGCAAAACAAGTCACTGATCACTTGCGAAAAATTGCTTCTTTGATTGTCGATAAATCACCACATGCGATCCTGTCATTAACTGGTGGTTTGTCTATTCAAAAGCAAGAACGTCTTTTGAAGTATGAAGGTAGTGGAAGAATCGTCGTCGCTACACCAGGTAGATTTTTGGAATTGATTGAAAAGGATAAAACTTTGGTGGAAAGGTTCTCCCAAATTTCAACCTTGGTATTAGATGAAGCTGATAGACTATTACAAGATGGGCATTTTGATGAATTTGAAAACATTTTGAAATATTTAGGTAGAGAAAGTAAGAATCGTAAACATAATTGGCAAACTATGATTTTTTCAGCCACTTTTGCCACAGATTTATTTGACAAATTAAGTCATGCATCTTGGAAAAACATGAAAACCCCTTCCAAAAATGAAAATGAAATGGAAATTGTTTTAAAACATCTAATGACAAAAATTCATTTTAAATCAAAACCTATCTTAATTGATGCCAATCCAGAAGATAAAGTTAGTTCACAAATTAAAGAGTCATTGATTGAATGTGCAGCTACCGAACGTGATTTATTCTGTTATTACTTCGTTAGTATGTATCCTGGTAAAACTTTAATTTTCTGTAATGCCATTGATTCAGTGAAAAAATTAACAGCATACTTAAACAATTTAAATATATCATGTTTCCAAATTCATTCTTCTATGACCCAAAAGAATAGATTGAGAAATTTGGAAAGGTACCAACAACAATCTGAAAAGAACAAAATCTTGGGGAAGCCTACCGTATTGGTTGGAAGTGATGTTGCAGCAAGAGGTTTAGATATTCCAGGTATCCAGCACGTCATCCATTACCATTTACCACGTACGGCTGATGTTTATATTCATAGATCTGGTAGAACAGCTCGTGCCAACAATGAAGGTGTCTCTGTGATGATTTGTTCCCCAGAAGAAGCAATGGGTCCTTTGAGAAAGTTGAGAAAAACTTTAGCAAATAAATCTGGTAAAGATATTATCATGGGTAAAAAAAAATGGCAGAAGACTGTTACTATGTTGCCTATAGACGATACTATTTTGTCTCAGCTGAAAGAGAGAAGTAGATTAGCTAGTGAATTGGCTGACCATGACTTAGCATCATCATCGTTACAAAAAGATGATACTTGGATGAAAAAAGCTGCAGAGGATCTTGGTGTAGACATAGATTCTGATGATGAGATTAAAGATACATTTTTGGCAAAGAATATTAATAAAAAGAGGAACAAAACTTTGGGTAAAGATCAGAAAAAAGTGTTGGTAGCTCAGCTAAATGATTTATTGAAAAGACCATTAAGGAAGGATATGAGACAACGTTACTTGACAGGTGGTTTAGTAAATTTAGCAGATTCTTTGGTGAAAAAGAGAGGGCATGATCATATTATTGGTCATGAAAAGACAGATGCATTAGAGACACTAAAGAATAAGAAGAGAAAATAAGTTGAACATTAAGGATATCGAGCTTTTTACGTAGATAGTGTAATTAGTATTAAAGAAATTGTATAATAATATTTAAATAAATATCAGAAATAGAGATTAAAATATTGACAAGAATTTTAGTTTTATAATAAGTGTCTTGGTGAGTTTTTCTTGCTTTTACATCTTTCCCTTTTTTTGCAGGTATGTTCTTCAATTTGACAAAAATTATTTCATTTTAAAATTTTTTATACTTTATATTGATTATTAGATATACTTTACAAATAACACTAGTTAAATTAGATGAAATCGAAATCTGAACCAGCTTCGTCAGAATCGTAATATTCATCATCAGATTCATCAGCCAACTGTTCGAAGTTAACTTTGTAACGTAACAAAGCACCGATACCACCAAAACCAGTGACGAATTGGGCACCTTCAGAAGATCTATCAGTAATGAATTCCAAAGTAGCACCATATTCTTTATAATGTTCAGCTAACCATTCGATTAACAATTGTTCCTCTACGACTTCCATTTCTTGGCCAGTAGCTCTATCTATGGCGTAAGATTTATCTTCTTGATCTGGCATAGCGAATTTTATAACTTCTTTATCTTCTGCGTCTTTGTATACGAATCTAATTGTTTCTAAGTTTTCAAATACAATTAATCTATCGATAGAACCCAAATCTAAAGCCTTTAAGGTATCATCGATACCGTAACAGAACTTACCAGTATCTTGAGAGATTTCATCGAAATATTCGGTCAATAGTTTCTTTTCTTGGACGAATTTAACGTTTGCTAAAGTTTCAGCGGATAATTCGATAGCTTGATTGAACCCGTTTTCACCACCATAAGAGATATCTACAATTTTCAAAACTCTTGAGGCCAATCTTTGGTCGAACATTTCAGACTTTGCCAAATCTGTTTTGAAATCGGCAGAACCTGCTAAAATCAAACCTTTAACCATGACTTTATCATTTGCAATGAAATTTTGTACAGCTACTTCGGCGACTTTTCTGACATAATTGTGTCTTTTTTCTTCTCTTAAACGTGCAAAACGGACGGCAGATTGACCACCTCTACCATGCTTTTTTGGCAAATCGACGGTGAATTTATGTAAGACAGTTCTTGTATTACCAGATAACGAACCGAATAGAGTACCTTGACCATCCATGACGATGAAACCGAATTTATCATCAGCTTCTAACAATTCAGACAACACTTCGGTGTGGAACTTATTATCACATAAATACAAAGAAGTGTTAATTGGTTTATATGGTTCAATGTCGAAAGTGACTTTCTTTTCTTTACCTTCTTCGGTGATGATATCACCACAGTATAAAACTAAACCATTTGGTGGGATTCTGGTATACAATTTCAATTTTTGTTGAGTGGAAGTGATAGCAGATAAGACAGATAGACGGTTGACTCTCGATTTGATATTTGAAGCGGTACCGTATTCATCAGTCAACATTTTTTGGATCATTGCGATTTGGCCCTTTGGTGGGATGACCAACGAGATCATGGAGGTACCATTACCTCTAGCTTTTTCCAAGGATTTGATTAATTTCTTAACCTTCCAGATCTCGATATTTTTCTCAGCATCAGTTTCTAAATCCATGATTGAAATCTTGTTCTTGAGCTAGTTCTCTTTTTCTTATAATATTTCACTTTCTGGAGAACAAATGAGCTAGGTGTGTCTAGATGTCGAAGAGAGAGAGCTTAGCAAAAGGATGGGGGGGGAGGGGGATCTTAAGTAGCAAGTAATTGACAAGATCTATGAGAGCTGGAAACCGAATTTAGTGTAACTAGACGTGCAGTTTTAAGAAGCAGTAGGTGTTATAAAGGTGGAAACATTGTAGTGTAGTGTAGTGTAGTGTGTCTTGTTCATCGAAAATTTTGGTGATAAATTTCACTTTTTACAAGACGGGAAGGAAAAGAAAATTTTTTTTTCAGCGCAGTGGGCTGGGTTACCCTTACCTTGCAGTGGTCGCGTGGTTTGCGCGTGACAAGTGCGTGATAAACACGTGATGGTACAAAGAGAGGACGGGATTGGCAAGATTTAGAGAGTGAGAGTGTATTAGCACACTCTTGAATATCAAAGACTGTCAAGGTTATTAAAATCTTGAATTATGTGCAGTGTGCAACAAGCAACACCATAAAGGTTATCTTTTGGGTATATGGGAGAAGTGTAGAGGTTATAAATGTCAGAGACAGCAGTTCCTGGGATGCACCAAAAACGAGACCCATCTATATATATATATATATATAAAGCACTAATGCAATTTAGCGATTGGGATTGCATTTTTACATTTGTAATTGTAATTGCATTATTAGTTTAAAGTTGGTATGATCATTCGAGATGAAGCATAATCCGATTTCAATCTTGGGATTGCAGAGAACAGTAACCGGATGAACATACAGATGCATAGCATCATCACAGACAAGCCAAAGTGTATTGTGTGACATATAATTAACGACAAGCCAAAGAAACTATTTGATTTCATTTGATTGCAAACGTTGGAATGAAGCGAAGTGAAGGCGAACGTGAGAGGGGCAGTGGCAGTGGCAGCCAGCTTCCTCTACATGGCGTCCACCACTCGGCGTCCACTAATTGAAAAACAAAAACAGAAGCAGCTGCTCGCCAATCTAATCGATTTCGAGAATTAGTGGACGCCGAGCAACCCACCAATAGAAAATTGCAAAGTGCCCTGCCAGTTGCAACAAGAAAACCGGATAACCACATCGCATCGCATCGCATCGCATCACACTCTCTGTCTTCTGGTTGCTGCTTCTCATCTCGTCTTCTCGTCAGAACCCAACACCAACACCAACACCAACGACACCACTTGGTTAAACGAATACACACATACAATACACAAGCACAAGTGCGTTACTCTCGTTGCAGTCGTTGCTGCTTGACAATTAATTTTCCCTCATTCTTCCCTAATATGCCTCGCCTCTGTGCCCATATTGCTCTGGTCTGGTCCCACTTGATCATTCACAACACAACACAACACAACACAACATGTCCTGGCTGACAGTTTCTTTTTGCTCTGCTTTTCTTCCCACAACACCCTGGGCCTCGTCTCGTATTCTCTCCCGTCACCGTCACCGTTCTCTTGTCATCTTGGGATGGGATGCCTTTTCATCGTGGTCGTGGTCGTGGGCTACCTGTAAATTCATTTCATTGCATTTCAATCTGTTCTGTTCTGTTCTGTTTCCAACGTGTTCCAGCATCTCGTTTGTTCCTAGTTTCTTTTTCTTCTTATTGGTATCCCATTACCTTCAGATTACACTCACGCTTACACTTACACTTACTATTCCATTTCGAAATTATTCAACTCACTTTGGATGCGAATTCGCATTCGCATCCAAACTCTGCTAATTTCATGGGACTAAGCAGAGAACCCAAGGTAAGAAAAAAATGTTAGGTCAACTGCCAATTGCAAAATGTTTTGATATATAAACAACCCAATTATCCCAACTCATTTCACATTTTTTTCCCATCTCTCTTTTCCCAATCTCCTCCCATTCCTTTTCTATTCTTCCCCCTTCACCCTCACAGATCCATCGAATCCACTCGAATCAAACAACTATCTCACTTAATTAAAAATGGCTACCATTGCTGCTGACGTCCCAAAGACCCAAAAGGGTGTTATCTTCTACGAAAACAACGGTGAATTGCAATACAAAGACCTACCAGTCCCACAACCAAAGCCAACTGAATTGTTGATCCACGTCCTATACTCCGGTGTCTGCCACACCGATCTACACGCCTGGAAGGGTGACTGGCCATTGGACACCAAATTGCCTTTGGTCGGTGGTCACGAAGGTGCCGGTGTCGTCGTCGGTATGGGTTCCTCCGTCAAGGGCTGGAAGATGGGTGACTTGGCCGGTATCAAGTGGTTGAACGGTTCTTGTATGAACTGTGAAGAATGTGAATTGTCCAACGAATCAAACTGTCCAGAAGCTGACTTGTCCGGTTACACCCACGACGGTTCTTTCCAACAATACGCTACCGCTGACGCTGTCCAAGCTGCTCACATCCCACAAGGTGCTGACATGGCTGAAGTCGCCCCAATCTTATGTGCCGGTGTCACTGTCTACAAGGCTTTGAAATCCGCTGAATTGAAGGCTGGTGACTGGGTCGCTATCTCTGGTGCTGCCGGTGGTTTAGGTTCTTTGGCTGTCCAATACGCTAAGGCCATGGGTTACAGAGTCTTGGGTATTGACGGTGGTGACGAAAAGGAAAAATTCTTCAAGTCCATGGGTGGTGAAGTCTTCGTCGACTTCATGACCTGTAAGGACATTGTCGGTGCCGTCAAGGAGGCTACCAACGGTGGTGCTCACGGTTGTATCAACGTCTCTGTCTCCGAAAAGGCTATCGAAGCTTCCACCCAATACGTCAGAACCAACGGTACCGTCGTCTTGGTCGGTTTGCCAGCTGGTGCTTACTGTAAATCTGAAGTCTTCGACCAAGTCGTCAAGTCTTACAAGATTGTCGGTTCTTACGTTGGTAACAGAGCTGACACCAGAGAAGCTTTGGACTTCTTCGTCAGAGGTTTGGTCAAGCCAACCATCAAGGTTGTCGGTTTGTCTACCTTACCAGAAATTTACGAAAAGATGGAAAAGGGTCAAATCGTCGGTAGATACGTTGTTGACACTTCCAAATAAGCTCATTAATCTTTGATATGCCATTCTAAATGATGTTTTTTATATATATATCTAGACTATCAAGTATTTTATGTTTTATAGCTTATTCTGATGATTTTAAATAAAACGTTATGAGTATAGAATTAAATTAAGTTTTCTTTTATTACAGTTAAGTTTCTTGATAACGTGGATGGGGATGGATGTCTTGAATTAAGATCATAAATATATAGAAACTGTGAATGTAGTAGTTGTTGTAATTGGGTTGGTTCTGTTTCGCAACTGTCACTGTAAAACACTCCACTGTTACCCGGAACAACAGTTTTTTCCCAAATCTTTCCGAAACGAACTGTGATGTAGACCAGACCCGTCTTGATAACCAACCAACCAAACTAGATAAAACAAGAGTAATATAGATATAAATGATAAGAACTATACAAACAACAGTTCAGAATCAGGATATCGTGGACTTCCAGGCCAGCAGAGTTGTGGTAGAATGAGGGCTTATACTTTGGCTGCTATGCGTGGCGGTTTAAATTGGAAACCATTTGCTTCATTGTCGTTGAAGAGAAATTTTAGTAAAAGCTTCATGAATCTACAGATGAATAATAATGGTAACAATAATTTTGAATTGACTAGAATTGTTCCTAAGTTGACCACTTTTTATTCTGCTAATCCCCATCATGAAGATTGCATGAACCAGTTAGAGGCTTTGCATAGAAAATATATTAAATATCCAACATTATCACAATCTCAAGAAGGTTTGGAAAAACCTTCTTGGATTTCATTCGATGATTATTCCTTATTTGGTGGTGGTACTAGACTAAGACCTATTCAATATCAAAACTTAGTTACTGCATTGAACAGATTGTATTCCATCGATCCACAATTATCAAACGATGAGATTAAGAACGAATTATCCAAATATCAAAAAAAGGTAAATTTAAACGCAAGTCTATCAGATTTGAAAAGTTTAGATGAATTCGGTAGAGCTGTTGCAGTTGGTAAGAGAAAGTCTTCCTCTTCAAAAGTTTATCTAGTAAGAGGTGACGGTGATATTATCGTTAACGGTCGTCCATTTAATGACTATTTCGTAAAATTAAAGGATCGATTATCGATTATGTATCCGTTGCAAGTAATTGATTCTGTTGGTTCCTACAACATGTTTGTGACCACCTCTGGTGGTGGTTCTACTGGCCAAGCAGAAGCCACTATGCATGCAATTGCAAAAGCTTTATTAATATTCAATCCACTATTAAAACCAAGATTACGTAAAGCAGGTTTGATGACAAGAGACTATAGACACGTTGAAAGAAAGAAACCTGGTAAGAAGAAGGCCAGAAAAATGCCAGCTTGGGTCAAGAGATAATTCCATTCACACAATTGTGTATTATTACTTATATATCTATATATTAAAGGTGTGCTTGTGGGTGTTGCTGTTGTTGCTGCTGTTTTTATATATCCATGGCGTTGAGGATACAGTTCATGTATGTCTCTCAACAATGACAACAACACACTCACACACATACTTTATCACTCTCTCTCTCTCTTTCTTTCTTCCTTCTCGTCCAACCTATTAGTGTGTTGGGGGAGGGGCAGGAATACAGATGAGTGAGACATGTTCAAAAAGGAAATCCCTGTAAATAACTAATTAACAATTTTAATCAGTACTACTATCATCATTAAAAATAAGCTGTTGCAGTTGAGGTACCTTCCTCAACAGCAACTTTAAATCATCATTATTAATCACATCTCTATTAGCATGACGAGAAAACATCTCTAAATCTTTACCCATTTCGACCAGTTGAATGTAACATAGCTCAACAAGAGCATTAATAAACTTGGCACTACAAACTGTATCAAAGGGAGTCTCTTCATTCACCTGTCGTTCAATACAGTACCACAATTTACCTTTCAATTGAGCCAATAATCGATCACGTTCAATCTTTGATCTGTCTTCTTCACTTGCCATCCTAAATTCCTAACTCAATCTTGCTGTATTATACCTAAAACCACCAAACAAAACCTCAAAACCTTATCCAATTAACAGATTATCAATTTAAACCATCCATAAAGTACTGATCACACCAACCTTAACCAACAACAACTAATCTAATCTCATCTCATCTCTCTTTCTTGTATGACAATAATTTTTCACTTTGCTATTACGCAACTTATTCAAGAAGACCTCATTTGATATAAAAGGCAAGAACCTTTCAAACCAGTTTGAATCAAGTTTAATAGATGGGAACTAACCAAGACCAACTGTTTTATTGGTATCTAGAAGGTTGATTGATACTATATTTGAATTGGTAGTTATCGTTTGTGGTGGTGGTGGTTATTGTTGCTTTAAATTTGTATTAGAAATTTAGGTCTTTAAGGAGAACCAGCCCTTTGAAGAGGAGATAAAGTATAAAGTTAACTCTAGAGAAAATATAAAATATAATGGCAGATAAGTTGACTGTTAGTTATGGTTTGTTGCTTCCACATTCTAAAAGTGTTCAAGATACTCATATTTTGCCGATTGCAAAGATTTTGGATGGGGATGGTGAGAATGGTAAATTTCTATTAACCTGTGGTAGAGATGGTTCAGTTATCAGACATGAATATGACCTTAATGGTGATTTAATTAACTGTAAGAAACTTCAAGCTCATAGTGATTGGGTCACTGATGTTATTGAGGTTAATTCCAATCAGTTTATTACTGTCAGTCATGATTTTTCAATTGTATTGCATACTTTAAATTTGAATTTGGATATTTGGGAAACGAAAATTATTGGTGATCATGATGACTATATTAAATGTATCGTTCGTATTAATGATTTCAGTTCTGATTCTTTCATCTTTGCCACTGCTGGGTTGGATAGAAAAGTCAAAATTTGGTCCTTGAATGATTCTGAATCAAAATTATTACATACGTTCACCAACGAACAAAAAAATGAAACTGGTTCAATTTATACTCTCACGTCTTTAAATGATCCTCTGATGCCCTTTGATCTGGTTGCTGGTGATAACAATGGTGATTTGATATTATATTCTTGTAGGAACTTTATCGAGACAGGTAGAATCAAAAGAGCCCATAAGACTAATATTAAATGTATTAAAGCGATAGATAATTCAACAAAATTGTTTAGTACTAGTTCTGATGGTGTAATAAGAATATGGAGTATTCTTAGTGAAGATGAATATATACCCAAAAAATTGACTACTTGGGATTGGGGCTGTCCAATTTGGTGTATTCATTATCAAAGTTTGAGTGAATTATTCATTGGTGATTCTGAAGGTAAAATAAGTAAAGTGGATCTGACAATAGTTCAAAATGCAACAACTGTAACGGTATTCGATGGGGCAAAATATTTAACTAATAGTTATGGTTTACAGAAAACTGAAGAACAAGATGATAAAAAATCTACTAAAAAATTTCATAATGGGATATTAAGTTTATGCTTTCTACCAACATCAAAAAGTTTATTTTTTTCATTTCCTTCCAATTCTAATTTAAATAAATTAGATTTAACAACAAATGGGTTATCTATAATAGAAGGTGGTTTTGCATTAACAAGAAGTTCCCTTTTAACAAATAGAAGACATGTAATTACAGAAAATACGAGAGGAGAAATTCAAAGATGGGATATTATTTCGTGTAAGCTTTTGAATACATTGGATTCTTCAGAAGGCACTTTTGATGAGGTTGTAGTTAAATATACTTCAAAGGAAATTTTGTCTCACTGGTGTTCTGTATCGATCAAAGTGGGATTATTATTTGTTAAACTAAATACAAAATTTATGGACACTGAAGTTTATGGATCTGCATTAGAAAAGTATGATATAATTAATGGTGTTGGATTAAATACAGATGAAAGATATAATTTGGGTAAAATCATGGTAAATTCTTTATTTAACGAGTTTATGAAATTCGAAGTTCAAAAGGATAAGTTACTGCGAGAACATATTGTAGCTAAAAAGAAAGAATCTCTGTTTAGTCTCCAAAAAGATAATGAAGGTATTTCTACTTCATCTTTGGAGATTGATACTACACCAGAAAAGAAATCAAAGGACAAGAAACGTTTATCTCATTTTATGAAATTTGGTTTGGGTTCTCCTACAAGTTCTTCACCTAATAGTAGTAATGTATTAGAAAATTATAATTTGAGTAGCAGTCAAATGCTATCTGAAGATAGTGAAAACATAGTTCTAGAAGAACAAAAATCAAATATCCCATCAACAATGACTTCTGCAATGGCGTCCACAGACAAGCTTAATGAAGATTCTAATTTATCTAAGGGTGCCGAAAACCGTCCAGCTAGTAGTGGATCTATATTGAATCGTAAGTTAAAAATATTTGGATCTGCATCTAAAATTCCAATGATGGCACAATTGCCATCTACTCAAGCATTACCTGAGGGTTATAGGACTCCAGAAGCATCTTTTAATGATTCATATGCAGAAAATGATGAGTCTTCAAAAGTCCCAAATTCTGCTAATTCCTCAATGTTGCTTGGCACTCAATCGCCATTTCAACAACCATTAGGGGCCAATAGACCAAAAGTTTATGAAACTAATAATGATAGTAAAATAGGAGGTATCTCTGTGACAACAAAGGAAGTTACTTCAAAAGAAGAGTATATGGTTGATTTGCTGGGTGAGATAGAAGAGAAATATAAGAATCAGTATAACTCAAACTCATCATCTTTGAAATTACTCACTAGAAAGTTACCTGAATCTAAAATTATTAGAGATATGGACTCCCCAATCTTAAAGATTAAGCATGGTGCATTATTAGTAGTTCATAGTTGGGGCGAAAATGCATGCGGTGGTAGAGTCTTATTTTCTACATTCTTGCCTACATCAGGTAATGGAGAAGAAGTAGAAGATAAAGAAGGTCAATTCGATGAAGATGAATTGACACGACAAGAAGCCGGAAGTGATGAATTCAGTGAATTTGATTACGTTGATTATGATTACGGAAGTGGTATGAGTAGAAGACAGATATTCGAACAGTTAGAGAACAATTTGCCATATTGGTTTGCCAGAGCATTGATGCAAGACACTAAAAATGCAAGCGAGCAAACAAAATTAAGTTTCAGTATCTCTGTATGGCAAGCCCAAGATGATATTCATGAAGATAAAAGCAAGACTCAATCAAACGAAGAAAACTTAAACGCACCAGCCAAATCATCATCATACCATTTGTTGAAATTTGGTAGAAGCAAACAAACAGAACAAGTTCTGGGGGCATCCGATCTACCAAAAGTACCAGATTACAACACTAAATTAGTTGCACCAAACATGATTAAAGTTAAAAAAATTAAAGCTTTTATAGTCGAAAGATTCGAAAGCAAGACACCAGAAATGAAATCAAAAATTGATGCTAAGGACTGGTTAGAACTATTATGCAAGGGACAAGTTCTAGACGATGATATGACATTGAATACGGTAAGAACATTATATTGGAAGTCGCAAGGAGAAATCGCTCTAAAATACAGAAGAAAAACTACATCCATTGGATCACCATTGACAGCAAGTTTGACACCAGAGGAAAGCTAATCCCAATGTATGAATCCTTGACTTTGTATCCCACAGATTCGATCCAAAGCTGAAAATAAAAATTTATTTTCATTCATTCTTTCTTTCTTTCTTTCTTCTTTACAGAGACAGATTTCACATAAATATATGTATATATAAGTATAAGTATAAGTGTATGTATATATATACAAGTACATTATCATTCTTGTAATAATAACTATTATGCGAACCAATGCTATTCACAGTCATAAAAACGAAAGTGACACACTTTCTGGTAAGTCTCCGAATTTGCTGACACTTTGCTAATTTGCTGACACCTGTGTGTTATTATCACTGTCAACGACGTGGAAAAATTTTTTTATTTCAAAATTTGAAAATTGGCATCGATGAGAAGAGAAGAGAGAAGTTATCAAGCAATTTAAAGAAGTTGTATATAATTGATCAAATATATTTTGAATTTAAATGCAAGACAGAAGGCACTAGGATCTATCTTGGTTGGTTTATATTCTCTAAGGACAGGTCGATTAATTCTGTGTTGTTGTTTTCCTTTGGTTTAAATTGCTTTTCAGTGCGTTGAGTGAGCATTGAAAGTTAAGATTTAAGAAATTTTTGAATACCAAACATATTAGAAATTAGAAATTAGAACTGAGGCAATTAATCAATTAACTAGTTGGAATAATGGATCAAGATAGTGAAAGAAGCATTTCCAGACTATGGAGAACCTTTAGAACTGTCAAGGAAATGGTCAGGGACAGGGGTTACTTTATTGCCCAAGAAGAAATCGATTTATCTTTGGAAGATTTCAAAGCTAAATATTGTGATTCTATGGGTAGACCTCAAAGAAAGATGATGTCTTTCCAAGCTAATCCAACTGAAGAAACTATGGAAAAATTTCCAACTATGAGTTCCCTATGGGTTGAGTTTTGTGATGAACCATCTGTTGGTGTTAAAACTATGAAGAACTTTGTTATACATATTCAAGAAAAGAATTATCAAACTGGTATTTTCGTTTATCAAACTAATGTTACTCCAAGTGCAATGAAGTTGGTACCTTCTATACCACCAGCTACCATTGAAACTTTCCACGAAGCTTCTTTGATTGTTAACATTACACACCATGAATTGGTACCAAAACATATCAGATTGAGTGAAAATGAAAAGAAGGAATTGTTAAAGAAATACAGATTAAAGGAATCTCAGTTACCTAGAATCCAGAGAGCTGATCCTGTTGCATTGTACCTAGGTTTGAAGAGAGGTGAAGTTGTAAAAATCATTAGAAAGAGTGAGACCTCAGGTCGTTATGCAAGTTATAGAATTTGTATGTGATCTTTACATGCATTATTATTGTTGTACCATATCTTGAAAATCTATTATCCACATACATACTCTATATATGTATAGTAACATTATATATTGTTAAGAACAAATAGAATTAAAAGCAAAATAAAAAAAGAGAGAATTGAGTCAAGCTGTATTGAACTGAACACAAAACGTTAATATACCATTGATAGCAATTTTTAACATCGTTATTATTATTATTATTACATTGGAATGCACAAATTATATATTTGAGTTGATATTTACTCTTATATCATAGTATGGAATATTCACTGTCTTCATTGGCAACTGCTGAAGTCTCATTGTCATCTAATGATTTGAACGTTACATTAACAACTCGTTTAGGTTTAAATTCATTATCACCCTTATTGTTATTTATCCTATTTGATTTCTTGATCGGAATGTCTTTCTCCCCTGTTGTCGTCGTAGTATTTTCTTCCAGTTTGTCAATATCTCTATTTAACAACTTATTGGCTTCATACTCTTCTAGTTCTAACTGCTTATCTATTAACTTCTTTCTATATTTTTCTTTCCTTATTTTTTGTCTTTCTAACCATCTCAGCCTTTCACCTTCTGGATCAATCAAATCATTATCATTTAAGCTCATGGCTTTCATTAAAATTTCTTTATCTGTGGTATAATTCGTTGCTATTTGTTTCTTCGCCTCTTCATTCTGTTCAACCACTTTATTTTCATGTTCAATCCTTCTTAGCACGTTGCCTTGATTATTTGAATCAGTAACCTCAGCTAGTTGGTTCCTTTTAATGAAAATGGGTCGTTGAAAAACTGGCTCTTCATCAGATTCCTCTGAACTACTATCTTCTGAATCGGAACTCAAATCAGAACACCCATTATTCTCCATACCATCATTAGTCGCCATATCCCGTTCACCTTCAAGCTGACTCTCTTCATTATCTGGTTTAACAGCATCATCATCATTAATATCAACGCTTATTTCAGTGGAATCAACAACAGATTCATCTGAACTCGAACTTTCTGATGATTCACTGTACCTTCTCTTAACATGACGAATAGCCATCGTGAATACCTCTATCAATAGACAAGACCTATCTCGATAGCCTATAGCACCAAAGACCTTTGCTCATTAGAACCTTTATACCAATAGTTTTTATTAATAGGATTTTTCAGCTTGCTCTAAATTTAAATTTAAATTTAAAACAAATTTCATTGAAAGGCAATCCATAAACACAAAATAAGCTAAATTCAGCTTAAATAACACTATTAATCTACGTTTATCGTTATTTTAGTAGTACTTGTCTAGTCCAAAGTCTTTTAAATATAGTACTATTTCAACTTTTACATTAGCTCAAACCAGCTGAGACTTCTCATATCCATATTCACTTTAGCATAAACCCTTATTGAAGCATTTAAAACTTTAATATGCTATGCAATTAAATCTGAATCAATTTATTGGTTTCTACTTCTTCTCTGGATCCCATTACATAGCCTTAAGTAGCATAAACTCTCCATATTCTTCTTTCAATCGTTCTTAAAATATTAATCATCTTAGATATCCCCTTCCCTCTCCCTTCTCGTATTAATATCTTTAGTAATCAATCCTTTAAAGATTTCGATATTTAAAGGATTTCGATACTTTTAAGTTCATCAATGACAGGATTTAAGAGCTAAAGATACCGATACAGTAGTTAAACAAAGTATTGAAGGTTCGTTGAAGGTTTAATTTTGGTTAACATGCAAATTTCTAGAATTTTTTGGTTATTAATATTGAGTATATTCGTTAAATTGGTGGTTTCTGGTGAGAGCCATGTCCAAGATGTTAGATCTCTAGATCAGTTTTATGAAGTTTGCAATGATAATAGTACTTATACTGTCGTTAAATACTACACTACTTGGTGTTCCCACTGTAAGAGATTAGCTCCAGTTTTTGACAAGCTAGGTGAATTTTATGATAAAAACATTGGAAATGACCTACCTGTTACATTTTTGAATGTTGATTGTGATGTATTTGGTAATACTCTATGTGCATCACTTCCAGGATATCCAGTAGTTCAGTTTATTAAAGGAGAGACTCCTAGCTCTGATGTCGATGGGGTGGACCCACAAGAATTATCATTCTTGGGTAGAATTGTACAAAAGATTACAGATAGGTTTAAGAGTCCAAGCTGGCAAGTGAATCCAGAAAGAATCACTGAATTTAAAGGTAGAAGAGACTTTGATGGTTTGAAAAACTTTATAGAAACTGTTAAAGGACAGGTGAAGAAAGAACATATGATCTCTACCATTTTAAATGATGGCGATTGTAACGAATCTGAACTTTGTAAAATTGGGAAAGCTTATCTTCATGACACTTTAAATAACATTAGTACCAAAAAGGCTGTTGATCAGGAAAGAATGAAATTAGAAAACATTATCAAGAACAATAAAGTTGATGAAGAAGCTGAACAAAAAGCTTTGGATATAGTCAAGTTCAAATTAGAATTTTTGAATTATTTCGAAGACACATTGAACTTGGATTTTGTTGAAGAAAGGAAATTCGTGGATTTGAAACACCATGATGAGTTGTAAGCTATCAAGTATAGGTTTGTAATATTGTTTTACTCTGAATCAATAGTTATTTTTTTCCCCTAAGAACTCTAGTTATTTGTTTTTAAGTTATATCACTTAGAATCTGAAACAAAAATTGTTCTCAGTAGTAATTTTAATTAAAAACAAGTTTCTATTCATTATAATTAATACGAATTTATAATTAATCTTATCCTATTTAATATTTTTTATTTCCCTTGCAATGATAGTAATTTTATTTAAAGATTTATCCTTCTTGGTGTTACAATGTTCCTTATTGTATTGTAATTGGGAAAGATAAAAGGAAGAATTCTATAAATTACTATTTCAGCCATTATAGTTAACAATGTTTAAGGAATTACCAAATAGTTGATATTCTTTTAAGATAATGTTTTATTTTCTTTAAGTCACTTTAAATGTTTCTTGCAAATTAATAGGTACTTACAAAACGTTAATTGTGAAAAAAATACAAATAAAAGAAAAATCAATAAGGTTTTTTGAAGGCTCAGAATCAATCGAGTGAATAATAGAGAAATTGATTGCTACTTAATTAAAATATCTAGTCATCATAACCATAATTATTAAAATCATAACAAAAATATTCTTGATTTTAGTTTAATCGTAAAAAGTTCTTTATAATGTCATTAAAAATCTACTAAATATTAGAAAAGTTATATAAATAGTTTATGGTTCAATTTAAATATTAGAAAATATTCTTAAACCGTTTCTTAAATATTTGTTTGGCTGAATTTGTAAACAATTTTGGAACCATATACATCACCCTTTCTTAAGATTACAGAATCCTTCCATTCATCTCTATTGATGGCATTGATGTATCTACCTGGTTCAACTGCAAAACCTTCTCTTTCAGTAAACTTACCACATAAGAAATCACCAGTGTATAGTTGGAAAGTTGGTTCAGTAGTTAAAATCTCCAAATTGATATTAGATTCTGGGTGCCAAGCCCTAATGACTGATCTTAATTCTAGATTTGTTGTATCTAAAGTTGTCAATCTTTCCTTCTCATTGATGATGAAACAACAGTCAAATTTTGGCTCTTCCTTGCCTAAAGTGGTTGGCTGTTGAGATTTAAAGGTTTCAATTTCTCTAGAAATTATTTCCCCTGTTGGGATAAGAGCTTCATCGACATCTAATGATTGGTTAGTAACAGTTTGAATGATAGTACCTTCAATAGTATCTTTATTAACCTTATTTAGATTAAAATAAGTATGGTTAGTCATATTAATTGGTGTAGCCTTGCCATCTACTAATTCAGATTTATATGTCATTGTTAAAGATTTTTCAGTAACATTTAGTTCATATTTAACAACTGTAATTAGGTCACCAGGAAATTCAGAAGTTTTCTCAGAATCTAATAGCATGTATTCAGCAGTGAATACATTCTTCTTAGGGTTTTGAACTAATGGACCCAAAAATCTCTTATTATGATAAGAGTTGATTGAACTATGGTTTGCATTACCATTATCTTGAGCAGTTAATTTAAACTCTTTGCCATCAATTTTGTAAGCACCATTTTCGATTCTATTGGCGTATCTACCAATAGTGGCACCGACGTAACATGTCTCAGGATTCAAGTAACCAGATTCATCATCATAACCTAGTACAACAGATTGACCATCAATTTTTAAATCAACTAAAGTTGCTCCAATATTAGCAATAGTAGCTTGGAATTTTGTACCGTCACCTATAGTTACAAATCTCGATTCGTATTCATCTACAGCTTCAGCAAATTTTTCAACAACATGCTTCAGTTGATAACCAAATGGATTTTCTGTTGTCCATTTCCATAGATCTTTACAAGCAATATCAACATTTAATTTTGTTTCCCATTCTAATTCTCTTTTAGCTCTGTCAGGCTTAGCGGTCAAATTAATGACGTCACCGGCTCTTCGGCCAGCAACTTCATAAGGAATTTTATTCCCAACAGCACCACAGAATGAATCATAAACTTCCAGAACTGTAGAACCTTTACCTGAACCTAGATTCCATTCTCTACAGATACCTTCATCTTTTTGAATTTTGTTATCCAAATATTTTAAAGCAGCGATATGACCTTTTGCCAAATCGACGACATGAATATAATCTCTGATTGGAGTCCCATCTCTTGTTTCATAATCGTTACCAAATACGTTCAATTTATCACGTCTACCAACGGCAACTTGAGCCATATATGGCAATAAGTTATTAGGAATGCCTAATGGGTCTTCACCAATTAAACCAGAAGGATGAGCACCAATTGGATTGAAATAACGCAAGATCGCAAATTTCCAACTAGATTGATTACTGTTATATAAATCATTAAGTATTTTTTCAATAGTAAATTTAGTATTACCATATGGATTAGTTGGACCCAATGGACATTCTTCAGGAATTGGGATCATGTTTGGAAATCTTGTTGCGTCACCATAAACAGTGGCAGAAGAAGAGAATACAAATTTTTCAACATTGTATTTACCCATTAGCTCTAACAGGTTTAAGGTACCAATCAAATTATTTTGATAGTATTTCAAAGGGATTTTTGTTGATTCACCAACAGCTTTCAAACCAGCAAAATGAATCACTGAATCAATTTTATTTTCTTCAAAAATATTTTCTAAAGATTCATAATTACATAAGTCAATTTTATAAAATGGAATATGGGTCTTTGTTAATATTTGTAGTCTTGCAACTGATTCGTAGGAAGAATTTGATAAATTATCAACGACTATACATTTATAGCCATTTTCAACTAATTCAGCGACTGTATGGGAACCAATATAACCAGCACCGCCTGTCACCAAAACAGATTTATCGTTCTCCTTTATACCATTCATCATTTTCAAACCTATGAATTAATTAATAAATGTTCAATTGATATTTATCAATTACTTATTTATTATTCCTCTTTTACAATTATTCTCGTTATCACTATAACGAGAGTAATGGTATTTAAGCAAATTAAATTCATGATAAGATATCAGATATCAAGAGATTCAAAACTATATTTTTGGATTAACTCTATAATCCTTTTATATCAATTATGACTTTACAATTAAAAGATGTCATCATTTAATAAAGTTAAATAAGAAATTCTTCAACCCCAGTAAGATCCTAAAATCACTGAATGATAAACAAAATGCACTACTTTCTTTATTGATGAGGAAGCATTGATAGAGGTAAATTCGAATTATAACAACAGAATATCATTTCAATTACTATAGAGTAGTAGTAGAAGAACCAGATATTGTGGGTGAGCCTTCTTAAAAGGAACAAGATATGGATCAGTATCTGCCGGCTTCGAATTCAATAAAATTCTTATAAACTCATACAGAGTTTATAGAGTCGAGTGTTTTAGTGATGATGACAATGTTTCGATTGTGCTATAAGCAAGTGTATCATTATCTATATCCTTAATTAGACATATTTGCAATAATAGGTGACAATGAAAAGTTTCACAATGCAGTTGAGTTACGTTAGGCAAAGTAACTAAGCAAAAATGTTTATGTATAAGTGAGTGTCGGATTGCAAGCAACCGAGTCAGATATCTGGGGGTGGTGGGGTAGGTATGGGATAACCAACAATAATGCTGTGTTGAATAGACAGCCAGTAACTTTGTATATGTATATGTATATGCATATGTGTCTCTTAATAACTTGGTCGTTAAGATAGCTAGCTATTCAATTTATGGAAAAACACCAGATCAAGAGAGATAGTCATATTCGGATGACAGTTGTCCGTGACCCGTTGTTTCTAGGTCGGCAGCCTGTTCAACGTCTACTCTGCAATAGCTTCTCAGAACACATATCATTTTAATTGCCCGATATCACGTGAACAATTCGCAAGACAACCGGCCGACATGATTGCAAGCATACCCGTTTGAATTAACACCAGTACCGTCAACCACTACAACAGCAACGATAATAATGGCATTAGATATGTACAATGACAGAACTGATAAGATACTGACTGAATACAAGTCATTTTATTGTGACGGTATCTGAAATTTAATAAAGCCACTCATGTCAATGATGATAGGAAGGTTTTCTTTCATAGAATAGCCTGTTTCAAATTGTGAATTGAAAATGCTAAAATTGTAATCATTATAATGTACAATTCAGAGAGAGAGAGTCTTAGCTAACCATGCTTTATTTTTGACATTGATTAATATTGGATAAGAATAAGGGACATTTAAAAATTTTATGCATTAAACATAGAGAGTGTATTATAAATGATAATTAGTTAGGATCAATTAGAGTCACATGAATCTTTTGAGGACAACGGTTTACCGAAACCAAGATGATTAATTTTAGTTTGTGGATCCTATGAAAAGAACAAATACAGGGTCTTTTTAACGATTGAGATGTCTCATAAGGGACAATATAAATATATATATAGACATACGATCACAATGGAAAGAAAAGTAGTAAGGTGCAGTGAAAAAACTAATTGGGCGTATGTAGAGAAGAACTTAACATGTCCTGTTGAAATTAGATAACGCCGTCAATCGAACATCACGAATTGATGAGGTATTAACCATCCACATAAATATATATACTATATAGATACAGCTATATAGTATATAACTTCGTTTATTAAGCTTGCGTGTGACGTGTGACGTGAGTATATTGGAAAGCATTAGAATAGCAGAGACAAGAAAGAACTCAATTATTCATTGTAAATGATAAATCTAACCTGTTTCTCCACAATTCCAATTGAGCTTAACTGGAGATTGTTTGCTAAACAATTCCCTCTCGGATTGAATTGAGTTGCTATACACACACACATACACATGCATATATATGCTACATCCACCATCATCACGTTACACAACAATCAATCCAATTGATATATATTGAAATTTTATCTTTAAACGTCCCATTTTCTGGTGATGGGTTCGTAGAACAATCATGGAATTGTATGATATTTTTTCATGAACTTATAAATCCTGTAAAAGAAAAGTGAAAAATTAAGCGATATTAAAATACTTGAAAAAGTTCATGAAATTTAAATTCACTTAGTTAAATACTAATGCTTAAATGTCTGTTTGAACTTTATATTCTTGATCAATTGAATTATATTCGTCAGGATTAGCTCAATTGATATATCAGCGAGTATATATATATATACATCTATCTATTTGTATATATACATTGATACGTTATAATTTTTTTTGGATATCTTCCTCTTTTGATTATAATTTTTTTTTTTAGTAAATTAGGAAATAGTAAGATTAAGAGAAAGATGGATGTTCCAGTTTTCACTCTTTCAAATTGTAGTGGCTCTACCGAAAGAATTACTGAGAAATGTTTGCAAGTAATTGAAAAATTTCAAAATATTTATAATCAGTATCCTGATTTTATTTCAAGATCTCCTGGAAGAGTTAACATAATTGGTGAACATATTGATTATGAAAATTTTGCTGTTTTGCCAATGGCAATTGAGAGGAGTATATACTGTGCGGTTAAAGTCATCAATGATGATTTCAATCCTTCAATTACTCTATATAATAATAACAGTGGATTATTTGCCGAACGAATGTTTGGATTGCCATTAGATGGTTCTTATGTAGATATTGATCCTTCAATCTCAGATTGGTCAAATTATTTTAGATGTGGTTTAAACGTTGCTCAAAAGTTTTTGAAGCATTTAAATCCAAATAAGTATAACAATTCACCATTATTAGGGTTGAAAGTGTTTGTACAAGGTGATATTCCACACAGTGGTGGTCTTTCATCATCTGCCGCATTTATATGTTCAGTTGCATTATTAATTATAAGGGCGAATATGGGACCAAACTATTCAATAAGTAAAAATATTCTATCACAAATTACAATGTCAAGTGAACATTATTTAGGTGTAAGTACAGGATCCATGGATCAAATTGTTTCTATTAATGGTTTAAAAGATCATTTGTTATATTTACAATTTAGACCAATTATGAAAACCACACCAATCCAATTTCCATTCCAAAATGTACAATTCATTATCGCAGATACTTTGGTATCATCGAATAAGCTTGAAACTGCCTCTACCAATTACAACCTTCGAGTAATAGAGGATTCCATTGCTGCCAATGTTCTTGCTAGCAAGTTTGGTTTATTTATTGGCAAGCGTACATCTACGTTTAAGTTTATAAATAATAATGGTAATGGTAATGGATTTGGGAATGGACATTGTAATGGTGGTGGCCACGGAGATAAAGGTAATCTTCGAGATTTTATGGAGGCATATTGTATGAGACAACGGTCAAAGAGTTGGGATGGCGACATTAATGTAGGGATTGAAATGTTACAAACGATGCTTGAAATAATTGATCAATGTTTCCCGAATAATCGCAACCAATGGGTAGAAGGGTATACAATTGATGAGGTTGCCCAATTGTTAAACATCAGCCGAAATGAAATTGCTAGTGAATATTTAACAATATATCCAGTTAGATTCCAAACTTTGAAGTTGTATCAAAGGGCCAAACATGTTTATTCCGAGGCATTGAGAGTGTTGAGATCTGTTGAACTGTTGAGCAACCATGAAATGAATGAATTTGAATTTTGCTCAAGATTTGGTGAGTTAATGAATGAATCACAAAAATCATGTGAGTTACTGTATGAGTGTTCTTGTGAAGAGATTGAAGAGATATGTACTATAGCCCGGTTAAATGGGTCGATTGGATCCCGATTGACTGGAGCTGGATGGGGTGGCAGTACGATACATATGGTACCGGGAGGAATTGAACAAGGGGAGAGAGTGAAAGAGGCGTTAATAAATAATTATTATATTCGTCGATATCCTCATATTAGTAAAGAAGAATTGGCCAATGCTATAATATTTACGAGTCCAGCGATGGGTAGTTGTATTTATGAGTTATAGAACGGATATTTCCAGAATAGGATAGACTAGAATAGAATAGAATAGTCTAGTTTAGTTTAGTTACGTATTTGTATTAATAAAAAAAAAAAATAAAAGTTTGTAGATAGACGGACAATGCGATAGATAAGTGTAATTTTTATTACTTTTTTTTACTTTTTTTTACTTTATTTAACTTTTTTTGGCAAATAATAAAGTTATGTGATAATGAGACGACGACTACAACAACGACGACAACGACATTTGATGATGAAATCGAGGAAGAACCCTTATGGATCGCTGGAGACATGATGAGAATGGAGTTAAGAATCACGACGGAATTATGGTATATGAGATATGACTGAATGTGTAAATGTATGCATGTATGTAACTATGTATGTATGTATAATAAATTATTAATATATGAACAAGAAGAAAGCTATAGGACTCCTATTGAATACATGACAGCGACACAAAGGGTGTAACAGTTGTTGTTGTTGTAGTTGCAGCAATAATAACGATTAGAGTGTTGTGGTTATCATGACATTACGTTTTAGTTGGTGAAAGCAGAAGGAAAGATGCTGCTATTTTTGATTGTCGATTAGTAGTTGTATTACGTCAGAAGAGCAGCTTGTTAACGAATAAGTGGGAGATACAGATAGAGAGAGAGAGAGACTGGAGGACGAACAAGAACAAGAATAAGAAAGTCCGTCGGTGAAATGAAGATATTTATGCTGTTGAAGTTTAAATACATGGAAATAAGCAAATAACGCAGATACCCTTGCAGTTGGCATATTGAGTCTTGGCATTTGCTTGAAAATTTTGGTTTTTGTTTTTGTTTCGGCCGAGGGCAGCAGCGCACAGACAGAGCAATTCATGCTCATGATATTTTTTAATTTCCGCGCATATAAGCGATGGGAAAAACTTCTCCCTTTCTCTCCACGTCTGTCTCTCCCACTATTTTTCTGGTTTTTCTGTTTTAACTCATTTCGGGTTTCGGTTTCGGTTTCGAAAAGCAATTAACCGGGAAAACCGATGTTGTGCGCGTATCTCACAGGAACAAAAAGAAAAAAAAAACAATTTCTTCTTTTTTCTTGTTTCTTTTTTGCTGTTTTTGTTTTCCTCTTTCCTCTTTCCTTTTTCCTTCTTTCTCCTTCATACTGGTCTCGAAGAAGACTAGGCTAGGCTAGGACACACCACCCACAGAACAGAACAAAACAAATATCAATTTATGCTCAGATGAGCATAAACTGCTGCCCCAATGCCCAGATGAGCTTAAAGTGCTGCCCAATGCTCTGTCATTACCTGTCTGCATTACACTTCTGGTTGGTTACTTTCCTTCCCATCACTAATCCAATAAGCACCTGGCTAGAGTGTACTGTCCTCACTGTTGAACTGAACTGAACTGGACAGAACTCAGTTCAATTCAATTCAATTCAATTTTAATACTGGAATAGGCCTTTTGTTACTTTTCCAGAAAGCACATACGTCACTTCTCAGACCTGTTCTTCCTGATTCTTATTACTATTCTTATTCCTATTCCTTCGTCTTTTCCTCCTCCCACTGGCATTATGTTATATATCCAAATGTATAACATAACAACAATTATAGGCAAGAGATGGGATGAGATAGAATTGGGATCAATTAAATAAACTTTCATATATATATACTAACCTATCCTAATCCCCTCCCCTCAACCATCCATTCATTTAAAAATAAGTTTGGATTTGTTTCAATCATTTTACATATATCTCTTCATACTCACACATACAAACTATCTCTGCTTCTGATTACATTGCTATTACTAGATTGATATTCCAGAATAGTAAGATATTTTTCTTATTTTCACTCTACATATAATATCATTTAGAGCAAAAAATCATGTCTCAAGATACCGATTTCTCAGTATCTTCAGATAGTCAATCTATCGCTTCTAAAGATCAAAGCTTCTCTGGTGCAGATATAGCCAACCCTCATAACCGAAATGGTGATAATAACAGCAGTTTACACATTTCTACCCGCAGGGCTTCAATGGTCATGTCAGATGATGTAAAGTCTCAAGTCGAATGTTTGGCAAAAACTTTATCAAGACATACCACAAGAGATGGCCCAGTTAAAGATATATTCGAAAATATAGAAGCCTCTCTAGACTCAGATGCCTTCGATGCAAAGGCTATATTCACATCGTTCGTCAATGGTGCAAATGAACAAGGTATTCATTTACGTAAAGCTGGTGTAATACTAGAAGATATCTCCGCCGAAGGTACTGATGCCTCTGCTTTGGAAGGTCAAACTTTTGGTGATATTTTATCTTTGCCTTACACCATATATAAAGCAATTAAAACTAAAAGACAAAGTAAAATGTGTTTGCGCAGGTTCGAAACCAGGACGGCACCTATTTCTTGAGATTGGAATAGGTGAGTGTTATTGGACTGTTGATCAGGGTGGGACATGGTTGTACTGGAGTGATAGTGGATATATTAACTGAGATCTAAGGTATAAGTACAATTATACGTTAGTTGTTTATTCAAGCTCTTGGTTTTTTATAAATTCTAAATATAGTATACAAAATATAAAATATAATTTAGTTCATAAAGTGAACATTAGAAAAGAGAAAATATTTTCTAGAAACTTGAAATCTGGTCTGCTTATATACCTTTTGAAAACTAACAGTTACCCTGAATGTGTTCCTGTCAGCAAAGTATATCTTTCAGACATAGGGTTAGATCTGGATAACTTAAGATTGTCATCTACTGATTCCCAGAATCCAACAGCCCCCCGGAAGCTTTAGATGCAAGCTTTCCATAATAAATTAATTCTGTATGTTAATTTATTAAGTAGTTAAATTTGAGACTAATTCATCTCTTAAGGTTTCAAATTGGGATTTAGCTAAAATTTTAGTTAGGATATCAGCCTGTTGGTCTTTTGTATTAACATATTCCAAATCAACAATATCCTGTTCCACTGCATGTCTGATTTTGTGATATCTCAGTGCGATATGTTTAGTTCTTGGATGCATTACTGGATTCTTACTTAACTTAATTGCTGGTTCATTGTCAACATATAATTTTGTTTTGTTTAGTGTGAGATCCATAACAGTAGTAAGATCACCTAACCATTCAATTTCTTTAACAGCTTCACTAGCAGCAATATATCTGCTTCGGTG